CACCATCGCCTTTAAACATCAACAGTTTATTTATACTTCTTAAAAATACACTTTTTAGGTCACCGTAATAAAATTCAAGGGCACATGGTGGACCAAACGAGGGACATGACAGTGTTAATCGGCAGACGCTTCCGAGTAGAGTCCCGCGATAGAGAATAGAAAAGTAAGCGAAACACACAGTTGTCGCACGTGGTCTTTAGGCTACTGTCATTTCTTCGGTGTTTTTTTCTTCGTATTTTTCTTGTTAAGAAGTGGGCCACTGACTTACTACATGGCGCTACTTTGAAGTACTATTCCGAACACAAAGTGCGCGTTTATGTGATATCCCTCCGTAGCGAAGCTCCGTCGGCATGAACGATCCTAAGCTTCACTTCACCTTTCGGTATGCTTTTTTTTTTGCAAAAAAAGCTGCTTATTCATTCGTAGAAAAACATTTCAATAGATTCTGTGGTTTGACTGGCGAAAATCACGACATAATAAAAAGGTAAGCCGTATCTAGGACCTCCGGAATAAATTACACCAGGTGGGTTCCTAAAATGGCTCTGCAGCACTTTTTGAGCGTGTTCTAAAAACGCTGGCCTTTGGTATTCAAAGCTCTTGATAGCATGTGAGCCAAACCTTATAAGACTGCAAGTAGCCTGTAATTTACAATTAATTCTTAAAATCACGAATTAATGACGAGTGCAGATTGTCCCAATCAGTGATGACACGTGCATGAGCTGTGCTGTATCTTTACATGATGTTTTCTAGGTTTTATCAATGTACTGTTATTGTACAAATAGCCTATGTAATCGGAAATAAAACATTAGTTGCAAATTAGCGCTGTGTGTGTGTGTCTTTTTTGTGTACTTGTCATAGCGCGCTATACTCATATGAATAATGAACCCCAACCAACTAGCCCGCTAACGTGCCTTAGCAAAACATTCCTTGTTTGTAGTTACTCTTAAGTGCCTTGTTTGCTTGTAGTCAAGAGACTGTCTTCCTTACCAAGCTTCAAAAACTGATGGATGTGCGCACTGCATAAGACTGTATGACAACCAAAACAAATTAAAATATATTTACAAACAAGGATTCACGAATGAAAAACGGCGGCTATTAAAATTAATGCCGATAATGATATTACCTCGTTTTCCATAGCGTGGCTGACGTAAGCGAGGTCGATCAGGGCGAAGGCATTGCTAAGCAAGTAGAACAAAACGAGCATGCTGATGTCTTGGCTGAAGCTAAGTCGAGCCAACATGTAGCCAGCTATGCAGAGCACACTGAAAGACCTCAGGCAAAACAGGAAGATGCAAGGGTTCAGAATCACGTTGATCTCGTCCTTCAAGGACTGGATGGTGGCCATGTTGACTCGCACATCTTCAAGGTCCCTTATCTTGAGGCGTGACTCATTGGACTCGCGCTTCTGATCCAGGATGTCAACCTGATAACAGGGAAGAAAGCGTGACGTGATTGAGGTGAAGACACTTAGACACTTAAGTTTAGTGGAGCAAGATTTAATAATACCATGCTAAGCAGTACCATCGGAACTGTCGTTGCAACATACATCTGGCGACAATATGGTGCTATTTGTTCAAGAAAGCGCGTGGAAGATTTTAGTAGACAACATTACTGACTGGTTTAGACACACTCGAAATGTTTTAGAGGTCGCGAGGTTTGGAATATCAATATTTATAATACTTGTAGAAGAGAAATTTACGACGCAGGAGCAATTATCAAGCTGTTCAAACATGGTCAAAACAAGTTATTTCGGTAGAATATCATCCGTATTGTTGCATGACATCGGTCATGAAATAGTACCGATCATGCGTAATCATGAAAACATTTTTATGATCGTGAAACAAAGATGGCAGCAGAAAGACTGATTTTCTTTTTGCCAGGAAAACTGAAGGCAGAGCTTTGTTGTTGTTTTTTTATTCACAGCAAGTATCATAATTTATTTAGCGGAACAGCTCCCTCTGCTGCTCAGTACTATCTAGAAAGAAAAAAAAATACTCCTTTAATTATTTTTTCTGCGCTTAAGGACTTGCCACCCGCATGGTTCATTTTCCTTTTAAATAGACACGGGAACTCACTCTGAAGATCACTGTGCTCTCTTCGAAGAGTTGTTCGACTCACAAGGGAGTTAACGTGTCTCTTTAAAGGCAGTCATAAACGTGGCAAATCAGGAGTCATCGAAAAGCGTAAGACAAACTTTTCTTTAGAATGTACGCCCTTATGAATCACCATACCAACCTGTATTCTGATGTAGTCTACGAGGACTTCGCAAGCCGCTCGCGCTGTGGCCTTGTTCCCATAGTCACTCGCCATGTACAAGGCGTTGGCTGCAATGGCGTAAAATGCGTGCAGAATTTGAGCCGTGCTCAGGACGCTGTAAGCTCTAATCAGCGCCCAACCATAAAGGCCCAAGGTGAACAGGTTCACAGCCGCGAAGGCTAGGACGTGGCAGGCGTATGGCACCAGGTACTGCCTCTTCACCCGATGACACGCAGGTACGTTCATAGAGGCTTCGAAGGCGCATGCCTTGCGTAAGAATCTAAGTACGGCCCCGGACCTGACGGACAGGACGATGAACGCAACCAGACTTTCCAGGCCAATAACGTTTCTCATGATTGCCAGCAGGGAGCTGGTGAGAGCGCCTTTAGAATCGGACACGTTGTTAGTGCCCTGCCATATCTGCCTTATCCTGAAGGAGAACAGGATGGATGCACACAGCAAGGAGTACAGGGTGTAGAAGGACTTCCACGTCACTCGAGCCCGGTCAAGGTTTCGACTGTTCAGGCTGGAAACGAACAGGCAGCCTGATGCTCGCCACATCAGGGCCAGTCCGTACAGGTGGTCCGACATTTTCATCATGGTAGGAGCACGGACTTCGAACAAACGCCCAGGTTCATTCATTTATTTTTTGTGGGAATGAGGGGCTGCTCGCGTTACTCAAAAGTGGCACTGAAGTTGAGACAAGGGTGTAGACTTGAAGGGATGACGAATGGTAGAACAAGAAATGTCCTCGTGTGACCAACTTATCGACAAAACGGCTTTTCTTCACCAGAAAGACACCGATTGCACCTGTTTGCACATAGGACTAGTCCACGCTTCCAAACTGAGGTGTATTGTCAAATGCTCGTCCCTTTCAACAACGAGTGGTACTGTCGACACCTAAAGAAAATATTGTCAAGCAGTACGTCGATGTCCCGCACCTAACGACGTACAAAGCTGTCCATTGGGCAACGTTGAGTACTTCGCAATGACTGACCCATTTTTTCCCCCACTTTTCTGTCTCAACTACCGGTTTCTCACATTTGAAACTTAGTAGGGGAACTAGAAATGGCCACAGGGTCCGTAGACTAGGCGCTAGTTTTCTGTGACACCCTCTGTTGCTATGACGAGCGTGCCTTGCTTGTGGTGGAAGTCGATGCTTTATTTCTGACATGTATTTTACTGCTGAACGTCCAGATAAACTCGAATGCATAGCACAAATATAAAAAAAAGAAGTGATACCAGTGCATCATTTGGTGGAGGCGATCACCCGCCAGTTACACTTATTTTTTTTTGTTTCACGCACGCGGTGATTAGAACGCCGCAAGGCGTGTGCCTCGACGCTGTATTTATTCACCGAGTGAAATATAAGTACGGAGTATGAAGTTTGCGAGAACGTCGAAATTACGAAGAATGTGGCCGCGTATTTTGACGTGATCGAACATATGAAAGAAAAAACTACTCGTTGCTCGTACGTGCTGCGTAATCACCGGGCAATCTTGTTTATGAGGTTTTCGCGCGTGCTCAGTACACCGACGCATGCAGTTTTCTTCTGCGTACAATAATCATCGCCGCAGTGGTCTCATGTTATCACGATGCTCTATGCTGTACGTGGCATATTTGTTGCAAAACATTGAACTAGTGACTCAAAAAAAGTTGATGATTGATGCGTGATCCACATTTCGAGATCTGGGCGTGCACGTCATCATTCCGTGTTGTCTCACTGAATTTACTGTTTTTTGCAGTGGACTGTACATATTACAGCTGGACTATTGTGGCCTCTATGAGCCCCAACAAATACCACTGCGGGACTTCATCGAAAGTCACACAATATACGAGTCTATATAGCGAACGTCCATGAGGTGAAATCAAAAAAAAAAAAAAAAACTACGCGGTTCCTATGTGTTCACCTAAGGCTTTTTTATAGATTGTAGTCTTTCCTGCTATACTTGAACGCACAAATTTGACTCTGTCCGTCCGTCCGCCCGTCCGTCCGTCCGTCTGTCTGTCTGTCTGTCTGTCTGTCTGTCTGTCTGTCTGTCTGTCTGTCTGTCTGTCTGTCTGTCTGTCTGTCTGTCTGTCTGTCTGTCTGTCTGTCTGTCTGTCTGTCACACCCGGACAAATTTCAAGCACTAGTTTTGCTAAACGCTCAGCCATCTTGAGCTGGTAGCTTCATCCATACTTGAGAATACTATCAATCAAAAACCAAATATTATGTATATCTGATGCGCAAAATCAACACGTGAGTATTAGGTTGTGTGTCAATTTACCAGAAAATATTTATATACGTAATTTTAAAGACTCTATATAGTATATCTTAAGGGGCACTAAAAATGTGGCACTGTGCACGAAAAAGCACTTCGCGAGTGCCCAGTTTTTGCTTGGCCGATGCACTGTTCCGGAAGCTTTAGGCACTTGACCCAGTTTCACATTGCCTCCGTGATCGGTCGCCCTTTTATAAGGTGATGATGCAACGCAAAGACGTGGTCATGTGACGTTTCGTCGTGATGACGTAATAATTACGTGAGTAATTTTTTGACCTGTGACATTATGATTATTACATACAGTGGTATTGTCATTCTGGCGCCGGGATACATGTGATGATGCTTGTTTGCATCGCTCGTGTTGACCCCAACGTGGCCGACACCGTGACCAACTTTTCGCATTTGAGGTGGTATCTAAAGCTTTCCCGTTTAATGATATAAATAATTCATGCACACTAAATAAATGCAGCACACAATATGTTGGTAGCTGTGCGATTCGTGCACTTTTATTCCTTGAAGCATCATGTGAAAAAGCAGAAAAAAAAATTAAGCGAAAAATTTCAAAGGCAATGTTTTTTACTTCTTTTGTTTACTTATTTTATCTTTTATTGCCACGCTGAAGCAGTGAAAAGACAAATGAGAAAACAATAACGCATCAGTCTAAACGTAATAGAAAAAGAAGCTTCTTTAGTGTAGCAAGCGGTGCGTGAGTATCAATAATGCGTGAAGCTGATACCAAAGCACCCAATAATGCATCAAAATATTGAAGTTGCAGAAGCAAAACAATAAGTAACGCCGAGCTATGTTTCATATGACTTGGCGACGCAGAGGCACTAGACCTTAGCACTATTCGTTACTCGAGCTCTTAGAAAAGAGTCGTCTTTGGCAACGCGCACGGAAGCCTACAAGCTATGTAACACGTAAGGCCCATTCAAGATTGAAACACAACACAACAACGGCTTCTGTCCACGTTTGAACGCGCTTTGCATTCTTAATTCAATGCATCCGCGTAGATGCGGTGACTAAGATGCGCTGACGCTGCATTGCTCTTGTCAGTAGACTGCCGTTGATAGTGCGTCTCGTAGCTGCCGTTAGTCCTGCAACAAGAAAGAACAGTAAAATAATCATTATCGCACAATACTAGAACACCTAGATTGATACCTATTTTAAGAGCGAAGTTTCTAAAGCTCGAGGTAAAGCGTCGGATGACAGCAGAAGACACCCTCGAGCCTTTGCTTATAAAAAAACCAAGCTGTGCACCACCTGGCTTTAACCTTGCTTAGCCGCACATGTACCAATGAGCCAATATGCCACGTCCACAAACGAAGACAGTCCTGGCAGATGCCGCGCGGAGTTTGGCCTGCCTGGCACGACCCGAGTACGATCGACCAAAGCTCCGCGCTTTCTCCTGACAGTGCCACAGTCGGCTTTGCACGTTACATTGTCGGGCCCTGGAGTTTGTATATTCTTGTATGCTGTGTCACAGGCTTTGGTTCGACTGCACTCCGTCTAAGCCAAGGAGAGCATCAGCCAAGAAGGCCACGTTATTGCTCTGAGATGAAACTGCGTTGCTGTTTCTCAAGATTAACAAAGAAAGTGTGAACTTCTTTTTCTTTTGTTTACAATGCGTCTAAGCTTAATAAGTACAAAATTACTCTACGCATTCAAGGAAGTAGAGCCCGATTCGACTGAAGCGCACAACACCCACTGAAACAGTCTTTGGAGCACCAGCAATAGTTGCCCAGTTCTGCGCTGATGTGCGCTGGTGTGCTTCAAAGGGCATTTAAAGTGCAACGATGAATCAGCTCAGATTTATTAATAATACTTTGAGAATACCACTATTGTTGATTGGTGCGATGTTCTGCGCTGGTGTGCTTCAAAGGACATTTAAAGTGCAACGATGAATCAGCTCAGATTTATTAATGGTACTTTGAGAATACCACTATTGTTGATTTCATCATTATAAGTTCATCAACAGGATTCAATCAAGAACAATGTCTCATTTTCAAATGTCGCGCCTGAATTTCCATGCGAGACTTTAAGCAATTCAATGTGCTTTCTTCGTATTTTTTCGACATTGGGCTACCCCGAATTTCCTGCAACTTGACCCAAGCTGCACAATGCGTACCTTTGCAGGCTCTGGGAGTCTTTTCACACGAAGGTCCTACTTGGGTTTGGGCGTCTCGGCAACCGGACTGTGTCGAATGCCAAAGGAGAACCGTGGTGAGCTACTCTTGTTCATCCAAACCTGCAAGTGTAGGCAGTAGAGTTAATTTAGTACGCGGAGCTCCTGCATACGAAATAACATTTCTTCTGATTATCAAGGGGCAGAACAAAACTAAACCTCGTCTGGTTTCTGTGTTAAGCGTACAGTTGCAATTTCGAATTTTTCGACAGGATGCACTTTCTCAGCCACCTAACTTCAAAGCTAACAGAGGCAGTCTCTATCTAGTCTTACAAGAAAAAAATAACTTGGACTATGTTTGCACAGAAATAGCCCTCAACAAGCAAGCAATTATCCCTTGATATCGTGACCTTAGCTGTCTTCTTAACTTGAAAAATATTTTGATGCTTTGAATTACACTGCATTTCAGATTAAACCAAATATTTGCTTTCTTTATTCCGGTCTGCTTGTTTGATCGGTACATAATCGTGGTCTAAGCCTTATCGTCGCTGGCAAAATATTTAGATCTACCGAAGGACAGGCATATGACTGTTCTAGGTATGTCTGTGTCACTCTTCTGCCCTGTTCTCACAATATAAATTTGGGACCAGAAACGTAGGCACACCATAAAACTTACATGCCCAAGAGCAAGACGTTCTCTTGGAATCAGTAATTCGCCATTATGGATCGTGCTCCACGTGTGCTCTTAGCTCGGTAGTTGCGAGGTTACACATAGCACCAGCTCGCCGAAACTACCTGGTGGGCAAACCACTCCTCACCGTTAAATTCCTCCACCGGTAGGAATTAAATGTCCAGAGACACTTGAAATCAACTCAGACTTTTGTATTTCTTTTACAGCCGTGCTGTAAGTGCCACGCATAGTTGATTTTTTAGCGTCCGTCCACGAACAAAAAAAAAAGCAATGAAGCACGTGTCTTTCATCTAGCAAGCGAAGCTATCACGCAATGGCGTCATCTAGAGTAATAATGTGAAACGAAACAGTTTATCATTACCCTCTCGGGTGAATGAGCTCCAGGCCCGGGTTTCTTGGTGTGGTCCGAGGGAATGTTTGTTCGATAGCTGAGCGTGTAGGCGGGGGACTTGCTCTTGTACGTGTCAGTGCCCGGCACGTTGTACTTGCCGGGAGCTGCAACGAAGAAACGCCCAACGTTAGTCGTCGACGCCACTCTGGGGCATGGCAGCGCGATCTGTTTACATCAAGGAACTGTGCACGTTTAGCTACAGTTGCCATTGGAGCAAAGTTATTCCCGCACGTAGCTTGCTGCAACCACCTTTGCGCACAACAAACAACGTTCTGCAATGTGGGAATGTGGGTGAACACACCGACCTAGCAGCGCTAGCGTTTTCTTTACCATCAAAACCAAACCGCGAGAGGAACGGTGGAAACTCTCTGGATTGAAAAATCAACAGAAAAGTGCATTAACCATCCTTCAGTTGACTCTAGATGGAGATATTTTGCGCCTGTCATAATGTACCTTTTTAACCTCTTTTATTTTCAGTTGATTGGCACATGTGCTTTCGATGTATTCTGTTGTAGTGGACGCGCTGGTCCGTGGCACTGTGACCACAAATGGTTGCCATACGTACGAATGACGTGGTTTAGGACGAGATGGCGGAGACCATGTTGCGTTCTTAAGCAAATGTATATGTACACACAAACCAGCTGTGAGAATGCGCTTGGCCATGTGTGCTCTTTTTTATTTCATCTGTGTTTGTTGCGCGCAATGGTGCTCAAAGATGAATTCGTTTTATGTTGGCTGGTAGTTCGGTTGACGGCACTTAAGCGCGCTGGTACTTATGGACCAATCTCTAATTGAAGCCTGCCCAGTATTTGCTGACGGTGACGAAGTAAGAAATCATTTCTCGACTGATAGCAGAGCAAGATAACAGGTAGCTACAAGAGTAACATCAAGTATATTACTTCTACTGCAAATTTCGCGCGCACCTTTTGCATCTGTTGTGATGTCTCTTAACGGGACAGTCAGCAACTGGAATAAACCACGCTGAAGTTGGGCCGAAGAAAAACGCGTTTTACAGAATCTTAGTGTTCTGCGGTGGGTCAACTTGATTTATTATTTGACCAGTTTCTTGTCACATAGAAGGCGGAAAAGACAAGACAAAGATATTATGTTGATTACAGGAAACAATTCATGCGATTAGTGGAATGAAAGTTACCAGGTACGCCGTCATTCTTGGAATCCTTAGGCCTGGTGCCGAACGAGTACGCAGGTGTCCTGACCAACACAGACTCAGCCTTTTCGGGTCTATAAGTACCCGGGGCTGGCAGGGTGGTGGTGTTAGGTTGAAGAGTGAGAGAGAAAAGCTTTGAATCGCTGGTACATACAAGTGAACTTAATTTAGATGCACTTCCGAGAATTTCTCGAATTATAATGGTTACTTGCTATGCTTCGTTAGTGTTGTGTAAAACGAGAATTGAAAACGAATAGACATGCAGAAGAGATTGTTTAGGGGCTTTCAAATGGTAAGAGTGCCCACAAGCAAAGCAAGTATTCTATAGCCACACCACAGTTGTCAATATAAGTAGTTTGCTGGAACCACTTTTTTCTTTATGATTCCTGCTATATTATCGGTAGCTCTCGCGTTCTACGATTGTGGGTGACGGCCGTGACTAACTTAACTAAAACAAACTATGTAAACCAGCCGAAGTACAAAAGAAGGCTGAGGAATTACGATTCCAGTGCAAAGTTGGCAGTAGTGACGTGGGCAAAAGATTTGAAAAATAGCATTATTGACCCAGTGAATGACTCGGCCTTGTAGAGAGGGCAACTTAGTGAAATGATGAGGTTAGGGCGAAAAAAATGTCGTTTAAGAGGTGGGATAGGTTGGTCGTGGCTTAGAGAAAAACATGTTGAGTCTCAAAAGAAAGCGGTGACTGCCGGACAATGCGTTTATCTTGGTTAAAAGCATGCCTCTTGGAATATTCACTCGGTCCTAAGACTTTCATGTTTCCCTTATTGTTGATTATATTAATGTATAAACTATCTTTCGAGTGACCACACGGGCAAAGCATCGCCATAAATTGTTGTTTCCTCTTCCTCGGCAATTAAACGTTGTTGAGATCTTCGTTATTCTATTTGCCAAATACGCCTGTGAATATTCTGACCTAGATATAAGAGCAGAAAAACCGATTCACAAAATCAAGGAGCCAACAGAATTTGCGCATGCGTTCAAAGATATTTTCCCTATTATTGAATCTAGTAAAATTCATTTTGTGAAAACTTTTTGAAGTACGTTTTCTTTGAAGTCACCACTTTCATTTTGTGTAGTACTCTTTTTGCTGATGGCTCAACATGAATCCCGCATTCTGGGATTTGGTTCTTGGATGATTGCGAATTTGGACAGGATGCTTTTTTAAGCGATTCTAATTTGTCGATGCAGTCTCTCTCGTAATGCACACTTGTATACTTATTGCCCTTGATTACTCGAGGAGATCGACATTAGAAAAACCAAAATGTAAGTGCTAATTTTCTAAGAAGATTTCAATAGTGGAGTTTCTAACTCATTAAACTTGTTTACGCGTTGCATAGGCTATATGAACCACTATGTTAACTCTAGAGTTCCTTAAGCTGGAATTTCGCTAATATAAAAGTTAATATATTATCATCATTATCGTCATGAGCCTGACTACGCCCACAGCAGAGTAAAGACATGTCCTATGATACATAAAGCAACTCGGTCTTGTGTTTTCTGCTGCCAGCTTATAACTGCAAACTTTTTAAAATCTTCTCGGTCCACGTAACTTTTTCTCTCCTGTTCGTGCGTATGCCTCATCTGAAAATACAGTTAGTAGGTCAGGATCGTACGGGGAAACCCGTTTGTTCTCTGAACTACTCTGCTTTCTTTTTTGTGTCTTAAGGTTACACCTATTATTTTCCTTTCCATCGCTCGCTGCGTCGTCCTCAATTTAAGATGGACCTTCTTCGTAAACCTCCAGGTTTCTGCTCCGTATGTAAGTACCGGTAAGATGCAGCTGTTATATGTAATATATGCAGGTGTGCAAAGAGAGGGTTGCTACAGCAAAATTATTTCTACGTGTGAACACCAGAAAGGCTTAGCGTAGACGACCGCTGCACTTCTATGACGTTACCGGGTATATCGTCGGGCTTAGCGTCCTTTGGCTTGATGCCGAAGGTGTAGGCCGGTGTGAACTGCAAGCACAGTGTCCGCTTTCTCGGGGCAGTAGGCGCCAGGGGCTGACGTCATGCGCATAGAGGCACAAAAGTTTGCTTCAGTGTTTACAACGCTTTTTTGCTTTTATGTTTGTATCGGTCGTGCGAAGAATAGTGTTTCCTACAATTGCCTACAGGTGAACTCTGGCGCTGCGATCGTTCAACCAACATGCAATCTTAAAATTTTTACACCCTTAAAGGTGTATTTCCCTGTCCCATCGTATACATTATTTTAGGGTATTTAGAAACATTGTAAACATAAGGTGCTTAGAAACACCCCTTAAAAGTGTAGAGTGTGAGGAATGGTTATACCCTACTTTTATAGGTGTTTGTGAACACCGCTAAATTATGGGTGTTAGAACAAGCTATACCCGCCCGAGTTGGGTGCAACGCATAAAAACACCGTTGAAATGACTAAAGTTAGAGGGAGAAGCATACTGGATCAAGTGAAAGGCAATTAACAGTATAACAAAGAAAGAGACACATGGGACGAAACGCTTGGGCATGTGTGCCTATTCTTTTGTTGTTCCATTCATTACGCTTAATTTCATCGAAAATGCATCACCAAGTGACTCGAGGCCTGCACCCTTCTAGTAAGCAAATCATATATGAACCTATTTCGCTGTCTTGGGGCTGACATGTCTACCCAACAACATATAAACGTAGGGTATAACCTTTTCTTACACCTTACATTCTTAAGAGGTGTTTCTAAACATACTCAAAGAATGTTGCCCATCAGACAAAATATACACCCTCAAGGTTGTGCAAAATGTTTAGTGTGGAAATGATGGGAAGTACACAGATATGATTGATCTTTGTGATTTCTGCTTCAAACGCACTCGGGCTTCTGTTTATTTTTGTGTTTTGGAATGAGTCTTCGATAAGAGAATAGATCGTCGTGAACTTCCTGAGCTGTTTTGAATTGGTAGACCCTTGAAAGGCCCGAGTTGGTGAAGTGGAACTGCTGAACATTTTGTCAACTCCATCTTGCGTCGAAGCGGCTTCATGGCTACACCCAGACAAACGGAGCCGGAAGTACGAAGCTTACACAAATTCGTCGGTCATTGCCAAGCTGGCTAAAGTGTCATGCATTACAACTGACGCAGACTCTAGCACCAGAGTTTCCTTTGTAAGTATTGTAGGAAACTCTATCCCATGCAGTACGTTATCAAAGCAAACGCTAGAACAAAGCACCCACTTTGGAACTACGTACTCATGCATGAAGGGATCTCACTTTAGCATGATTTAGCAATTGTGAAAAAGGCAATCCACGAGAAGGAATGCGAAAGCAGTTCAAGCTTAGCAATTGTCGAATTGAGTTGCAATGTGGGCTCATTGGTGATTCGTTTGAAAAGCTTTGATGTAACGCAAAAGAACACACGTACATGAGGAGGCACATCACACAGCGCTGTGGGGTGTCCATGTGTGCATTCTCGTGTGATGATGATGATATGTGGGTTTTAACATCCCAAAGCCATCATATGATTATGAGAGACGCCGTAGTGGAGGGTTCCGGAAATTTTGACCACCTGGGGTTCTTTAACGTGCACCCAAATCTGAGCACACGGGCCTACAACATTTCCGCCTCTATCGGAAATGCAGCCGCCGCAGCCGGGATTCGATCCCGCGATCTGCGGGTCAGCAGCCGAGTACTTTAGCCACTAGACCTTCGCGGTGGGGCCATTTTCGTGTACGTGTGTCCTTTCGTGCTATGCGAAAGCTTTTTCTGAATTGTGCTGGAACTGACTTGTTGTTTTTTGACACAATTTACATTTTTATTCACTTGCAGAATTAGAGAATGCTATAGACACTATTCAACTAGCGCCCTCAAGATGTCTTCAATTTAACTGCAGTATCAAGATATAATATTTTCTTTCATTAGATCTCATGGCAACATTAGCGAAACAGCTCAGTAAGTTGGCATGTAGGGCTCAAGGTATTGAAGCACGGGCACTGAAAGTGTTGAATATTTATTATTGAATTAACACAGCAACAATCATACTGTGGTTTGGGCACGTAACCAAAACACAGCATGACTATGAGTCATGCTGTGATGCTGAGTACACCAAATCTCCAGCCTACACATCATAAAAAATTTAATTCATTATTAGCTCTTTTATGGACTAACTAAATACGAGCTACTAAGTACTAACTACTACTAAAGACTAGCTGCTAACTACTAGCAACGACCTACGCTGATACTAACACCATCGACAATTTGGTGCTTTAATTTGTGGTGGTTACATTATTAATGCCTACTACGCCACAAAAAAGTTCGTATGTTTTTAGTTCGCGAAGTTTAATGTGAACAAGATGAGCCAAATGATTGATGCGACATCATAGCAAAAGACTTTAACGCTTTTGGTCCTAGAATTATGAGACACTTTGCGGTATTAGCTGCCAGTATGCATTAATTAATATTAAGACATCCATCACCAAGATAATTTGCGACAAAAATCAAGCTTGTACTTTCACTACAAAAAAAAAAAAGCATTTATACTACCAGGAATATCGTCGGGCCTAAGGTCCTTATGCTTGAAACCAAAGGTGTAAGCCGGTGTCGTGGCTAGAACCGTGTCAGATTTCTCAGGACAGTAGGTGCCAGGAGCTGAGAGAAAAATAGAGAGAGAGAAAAGGAAAGAGAAAGAGAGAGGGGTGGTAGGAAGAACGATGTCCATTCGTCAAGTTTGATTGCCACGTGGGTTCAGCAGTTCGGCTTTCATGCTTTAGTCAGTGAAGCGTGCGCCACCACATAACATATTGTAACATTTCGTGCAGTGAAATCTCGACGGTGCTACGTCACACCACAGACACCTTAATCAAAGTTAAGGAGCCGAGAAGAATTATTGCCTATCATCTTTGCTCCGAATATATTGTCACAGGTTTGTGACGTAGACGAAGGGAGCAGACTGCACGTCGAATATTAAACTGTTTATTTCTGGCCGAGCTTGTGGTCTCATAAAAGAAAAGTCACATTACAGCAAGACACTGGCACTGATAACGTCGGCCGTCGATCAACTGACAAGTGAAGAAGCGTGTCGGCATTTATACACTTGCCATCGAACATTCTAACGTTGTCGCTAGCGGTGACGTAGGTTCCAGAATAATATGCAATTTTAGAGAAGTGGGCGTGATCTTAACGAAATGATCTACTACAGCCCCGACAATTCCCGAATACTGTAGGCACGGTGTTTTCTGAGAATTACGTACAGTGACGGGACGATAAGAAAAACCTGAGGAAGGAACGTGACAATACCGTTTTCTTGTGCACTGGATCACACAAACGTTTTTTGTTCTACCAATATTTTTTATCGCTACAAAGCAGCCTGAATTATAAAATTTCACTACTGTGAATCGGACAACCACACATCCCTGTTAAGCTTGTGCGGTGCTGCACGCTTGGCTATTATTACTAGCTGAATCCACCATGACATCATGCAAAGTGCGAACATAGTCAGGAGAACCGGAAGTGATTCAAGTTTACCGCATACATTTTCATGTCAAGTAAGTGAAGAGAAAGCACACACACATAAGCAGACCATATCCATGTGCTGTTAGTAAGGTGTCAAATTTTACGCTATTTTTTGCTAAAGGGGATGCGCAATGAAAGAATCGTTACACTCCAAACCACCCTCCGAGATAGAAACGTTGTGAGATGGTTTTCTAGTTTTGTGGTAACGCATATCTTCCAGGGAAACGTGTGCATGTAGATTGAGCATAATATGGTACTTAAGTTGCTACGTGTTACATAAACTAGATACGGTTGTTTTAACCAGGTCAAGCACAGTTGCGATATTAATCAGGCTGTCACCTAACCAATTGCTAATACCGATCCCAGTTACGATATTGAACATGCTGGTAACTAGTAACCTTCATTCGTGTTTTCAGCACTAATCAAGGTGTCGGTGCCCGTCATAAGAACTAGTTGAAGAAGCCTGCATCGCACATGGTTTCAGTGCGAGTAGCTGAGCATAATCACCATCATCATCATTATAACTATGACGACTCGGAGTAAAAGCCCCGAAATTAGGAGAGAAGCTGTTGCAAGTTTTCTTTTCTAACAAGGTTAGGCGTAGGGAGCGAAGCCAGTGAGAAGGCTCGTTAACCTACCGGGAAAATCGTCCCGTTTAGGGTCCTTGTATTTCACTCCGAAGGTGTAACTAGGTTCCAGAGATCTGACGCGCTGATCGGCTCTCTCGGGGTCGTAGGCACCCGGTGCTGTCAAAACACAAGGCCAGATCGGTATTAACCATCGTGCTACGTTTCTCCATTTTCTCTTTTTAGGAGAAATCTATAAGGTAGCAGCAAAAGGTCACGCCTTCCTTCTTTTGTACGCGCTTATTCGCTAAGTCTCGTGAGCAAAACGAGCTCACCGTGATAATTCATGAACCATGAACATTTTCTCTCGTTCTTGGCCAATTTCCGTACGTAAGAATAGCACTGCACATCAGTATGTAATGCTCAATGCCATGAAAGCTTTCTGTGAGCTTTTACGTGCGAAATACTGAGTGTCTACGGATGCAACGGTATCTCAACTAAGTTTCACAGAACGTAGTAACGCCGCGACAATGGGCTATGCGGTTGTTGCTGGTCTCATTGCTCTTTTTCCACCCGTCATACAGAGTATAATGGTAGCCGTGGGCATCACGAAACTTTCGTTTTTTATACACTTCCTTACCACGCAAACGCTAGAAAGGAATAAAAAGATTCATTCTATTTTATTATATATCAATGCCCAAAGCACAACCAGCTGTTCACGCAAACAAGATTACACGTTGAGTGAGATGGCCATACGTGTTCTTAGTGAGCCATGATTTAAAAGACGGGCGGTCGCGATAAGGTAAAAAAAAAAAATTGGCGGGGTGTCGAGTATCGTGTCGATGCAGCCTTACGACGAAACATAGAAGAAGCGGGTCACTTGGGGTGCGTGAAGTGGGTGTACAGATGTGCAACCATGGTGCAACAGAAACGCAGGACAGAGTGCGACCGGGTGTAGAAGTGTAGACACGCAGTAGACGCTTGCGAGTGGTCATCGCGGGTAGCCACTGCACGAGTGTACAAACCGGGACTCGTGCTTCTGCAACGACAACAGTCGCCCTTGTGTCCGAAGGTGTAAGATGGCGACATGGGCCGCACGAGAGGGTCCGCTTTGTCGGGGCTGTAATCCCAGGGAGCTGCACTCCGCAACAGAAAACGAAAAAGAGGGAAGAAACAGACGTTGAGACATCTGATCAAGAAAAATGTGAGACGTCATTTGTTTCAACAGCACATTTACTTTATTGTATACAAGAAAAAGGACACAGTATGTGAGACTTTAAGGTTCAATAGTTCTGTCCCATTTCTGCCCAGCGAGTATTTTTCAAATCGGTAGCATAAAACGTACCATATATAACACACGTGTATGTAACATTCCACAGCCATGTATCGTAAATGTGCATCTAGAAATACACATTCCCGTCTTTTGTAGTCATTTTGATACACTTTAAGAATAATAAACAGTATTATTGTATTATTTGCTGTTTCTTTATTTGCCCGGACTTGACACATATATGGCTGTTTTTATGACGAGGTGTGTTTACGCTCTTCTAGGTCCTGCGACACTGCATAAAGTATAATGATCACTAAAAGAGTCACTAAAAGTCAGTTAGAATCATGACGGACAGAAAAGAGTCAAATGACTTCTTTTTCTTAGAGTACACATTGCCTATCTTTTTCGTTTGCATAGATAGTTTGAAAGTGTGCGTGCCCTTGCATGCCTCTAAAACAAATGAAATCACTACTGAATGCCCAATAACAGGCTTGCCAAATGCGTTTATTGTGTTCTATGGCAAGTTCGCAGCGTCGTGCAAAATAAAAAAAAATCTAACATGAGCAAACTGAACAAATGCACTGACCAGGAGTCTGCTCTTTCTTCGGACACTTGAGCTTTCTTCGTATCGTAAAGCTTGGCATGCGAGGAAAGCGTAGCTGCTCACCGACGCTCGGGTTGTAGTAACCCGGTCCTGTTGTGTGCAAAACAAAAAAGGAGGTCAAACAGGGATCGCCAGGTGTTTGTGAGTCGGGAAGCTAACGCTGAGAATCATAAGTAGATACGGGTTGCCCTTATTACGGGACTTTTGCCCGCTGAATTTCAGATTATCCGCTTGTCCCGCGATTTTTGCATGCATCGTACGTGCTTAAATAACAATGGCAGACCACTGGTTCACTGCAGGCATGTAAGAATTTTCGTGGCGTTATTGAAGCATAGTGTTTTAGCTCCGCAACATAAATAAGATGAAATAGCAGACCAAACATGCCACATGTATCTTTCGTTCTTGCAGTTCTTTCATTAAATTATCTAAATTATCGTCCCATCTCATTAACCTCAGTGCCTTGCAAAATCATGGAACACGTCATATTCACTCACATTATCAGTTTTCTTGACAAGGTTAATTTTTTTCATCCTGCACAACATGGCTTCCGTAAAGGGTTTTCATGCGAAACTCAACTAGCACTTTTTGTTCATGACCTTCATTCCAATCTCGATAATAACCTTCAAACCGACGCCATATTTCTAGATTTCACCAAAGCATTTGATAAGGTACCTCACAAACGCCTGTTACTGAAACTCTCCCACTTAAACTTACATCCCGCTGTCTTAATCTGGATTCAAGAACTCTTACATAACCGTTCCCAATCTGTCCTTGTAAATGATCAGCTCTCCAACTTTATTCCAGTTACATCAGGTGTCCCTCAGGGTTCCGTCCTTGGCCCCTTGTTATTTCTAATATATATTAATGACCTACCAACGAACGTAACTTGTAACATACGCATGTTTGCTGATGACTGCGTTTTGTACCACACAGTAACGAATGTATCTGATCAAATTAGCCTCCAAAGTGACATTAACCAAGTGCAGCGTTGGTGTGAACGGTGGCAAATGGAACTTAATCCTAACAAATGTAAACTTGTGTCGTTTCAGCGTCGCCATAACCCGCTCACCACTTCCTACGTAATCTCTAACACTCCTGTTCAACTTGTGCAATCCTACAAATACCTTGGCCTAACTTTGTGCAGTGACCTAACTTGGGCTGAGCACATCCGGACTATCATCGCAGCTGCTAATCGTACTCTCGGCTTCCTAAAACGTCATCTGCGCAACACACCCCGCCATGTAAAATTATTAGCATATCAGTCCCTCGTAAGAAGCAAGCTTGAATATGCATCGTCAATTTGGAGCCCACAACACGCGTATCTCATTGCTGCACTCGAATCACTTCAAAACCGTGCTACTAGATTCATTCATTCCTCATATGCCTATCACATTAGCGTGTCATCTTTAAAAGAAGAAATTGGCCTGTCCCCTCTATCTTCCCGCCGCCGCATTGCCACCCTTTGCTTGTTTCATAAACTTTTTCACAGTCCACTTGCAATCGAACCTTACATTTCCCCCCCATTTCACAGGTCATATCGCATTGGCCATGTCTTTCAAGTTGCCCGTCAACGTTCCCGCACCGTTAATTTTGCTGCCTCATTTTTTATTCGTGCAGCAAAAGACTGGAATGACCTCCCCCACCATATTGCAGCAATCACCTGTCCATCAACATTTATGCATAGCGTCACAAGCCATTTTTCAAACTAATTCATGGCTTTTTTGTGCGTTTTTTGTACCCCCACCCCTTATGTAATGTCCCCCTGGGGACCTTTAAGGTAATAAAATGAAATGAAATGAAATTAGAAATTTAAAGCAATAACTCCGCAACAAACTCTGCTATTGCAACAATCTTTCCAGTGGTGAGCTAACTGACCAAGTCTTGTAAACAGAACTGCACTAAACTATATAAAAATTTAAAATCACAGAAAAGTGTCAACAACAACAACCTTCGATTGTTTCCGGTGATGCGACAGATTTAGGCAGTATTTCCTGAATTACGGCTTGGTGCTCACCGTTACAAGCTCTATTGCATCGCTCTCGCTCGTGACCAAAAAGATAAAATGTTTTGTGTACATTTATTAGAAAAAGACGGGCTGAAACGCGTTACTGACAGCCAGACTATTGTCCCTAAGAGTTAAATCAAGTTTTCACCAGTTTGGCTGTATAACGAGAATACGACGTCATAAGAAATAGATATCTACTCGAAAGAAGCAAGAAAAGTTTTTAATGTGTGATCGAAGAGTCCGACTTGACAGCTAAATATTAACATTTAGTGACTCTTAGCGACTCATAAGCTCATAACAGCTGAAGTCGATGCTTATTATGTTCAGCACGTGTAGCTTCATGATAGAAAAGTATGCTGGAAGTCCCAATATTTGTGTCTGCTTTCTCGTGTCTTCAGCAAAGAAGCGTGGTAAACAAAAAAAAAACATTCGTGATCAGATACCGTCCATTAGCAGATGGGAAATCTACGAGAGCGCGCAAACATCGCATTCAATGCAGTACATAAGCAAGCCTACCAGGTGTTTCGTTCCGTAGTAGCGCTGCAAAACCTTTCCTGAAGAAGAGGCTTGCAGCTGAACGGAACATCACTTGGCTGTTGTCTTCTGCTTCCGCTGCAAATACGACGAAGCTTTAAACAATGCGCTGATAACTGTACAACAAAATGACGTGGAACAAAACGATGCGCAATGAATGCTAAATAACATGAACGCATGATGATTAACACAGCATATAAATTCTTGGAAAGCACGCAGACTGTAGTAAGGTTACAAACACAAGCCATATTTCACTACGCATTGCCCGAAGCGAATGCTGCAGACCCCCGTGTTTCGAATTACCAATTTATTCGCACTCACCCTGCAAATACTTGGATATTAATTAGCTCAGGTTGTAAATACCCAGCTTTGGAAAGGCGTTGATCTCGAGTTCGAGAAACAAACCAGGATGAAATTTGCGTCGACTGATAAACCCTCTTTTTGCGAAAACCAGTGGAGTTTTATTTGGTGCTTCGGGCTACAAACGAATGAATGACGTCTCTCCGTTTTATATTTAAACATCAACTTCAACTTCGAACATTTAGTGTTAAATACAAATAACTCTTCGTACCATATCTACGGCAAGTCTTTTCGGCATCGGTTGCTTGCAGGAAAAATTTTTAAAAGTTTGCAAGCTCTGAATGCTTTGTCACAATTACGTACAACCTGCCTAAAAGTGCGTAGTCAATGTAGAGCCAACAAATATACTGCATACAAAGAACACGTACTTTGGTTATTTTTTGACAACTGTTTACGAATGTCTAGTGTTCGCCAATTCGTCTTGGCTAACATCGGCTGGTAGTGTGTAGCATTGGCCATTGACGTACCTAAAGAGGATTGGAGGTATTAATAGTAATTCTACGCCTTTCTCTCTCATTCGCCCCTAAACAACCAGCGTGATTTTTCGGTATAGATATTGCGATGGACTCAGGTTTTTGATGTGCTCAGGTTCCCACATCCAACTCCATTTGCCACTATGATCTGCAAGCTTGTGTAAGTGGAAATAAATAAATTGAATCAATCAAAATGAAAAAACTATCCAAGTGACGACATGTAAAGGTGCGCTCGTTAAGTCACGGGCACAAATTAAGATAGGTATTCAGAGGGCCCCTCACCAGAAGAAACAGCTGTTTCCTGCGTCCAGGACTGGTAAAGCTTAGCAAACAAAGACCCTGTACCGGGTGGTTTCCAGAAGTCCAGTCCCTCTGGAAACCTTGGCGCCATGTGAATGCTTCCCTGAGCATGCCTCAGTTCCCGAAAGCTCTCCGGCGACACTTGGATCCTCGACGAATCTGCGGTGTCCGAAGATTGGTGAAAAGCTACACAACGGAGTGCGAGATGCATTCTTCTCGACGAGAAATACACGACCCGAAAGAAAATAGTTAAATTAAAACACGGACTTGGATAATGTTACAACAAGAACGTATTGATGACCTTGGTTCTTTTCGCAGCAGAGTAACAATGAACACAACAGTATGATAAAACAATTTTTCTTCTTGTTCACAATGAAAATATCTCAGACTTTAAAGTTTAACCTTGAGATTTTGGTCCTATTGGCGTATTATTAGAATTCGCCAACGTTCAACGCTTGTGCTCGTCGTTATTGTGCACTGGTTTGTTGCAGTTTAGATTGATTATTATTTTTTTGCATATTCATAATTGCGTGTAAATATCATTACTCATTAATAATCGTATGTTACACTTTAGTATACTGATGCATTTTACCAGTTATCTCAATGCACTTTCACGTCAACTTCTATGTAATACCCTCACGTGCTATTGGGATCGTTGAAAAAGATTGCCTTAGTTATTCTTCATGGTTTCGCAAAGAACATTGCAAAATAGCCAAAGCAGATTGGTAAAGTCGACTATGTGAAATGTATAAGTGATGGTCTTTGGTTCCTGATAAGGTTACTATAGTATCTGCTAAGGACATTTCGTCTTACACAATGAAGGCCATTTTAAAAGTAACTGACCAGTTGGTGTTCGTACGAACATCCTGTCGTGAGCCGACACACTGTCCATCGTTTCGTCGTCTTCAAACATACCACTTTCGTCGCTCGTCGTAAACGCTGCAGGTTCTACATAAAAAAATACGAAAAGAAAAGAGTCCATTAGGTTCGTTCAGGACACAAAAAAGACGTAGGGACGATGCCGTTACCTAGACTCTTAGCCAAGTGGGTACTCGAATGCCGCTCCTTGTGAAGACTGGGAGAGGAAGCGATGATGTGAGTTTCAGACTTTGAGACGTTCTCCTTCTCTGCATGCGCAAACCAGGTGGTGAATGCAAAAAAAAAGGTTGTTGCCACACCCGTATGACTGCGGAAAAGATTACTTGGGCTACGCCTCAAAAGAATGTACGGCACGTACCATCAATGTAGTCGATTGCGTTTTGTGCAATTCGCAGGGACCTACTACGGCCTAATCTTCTGTCCGATGGCCTCGATCTCTTGTCTGCCTCTTGGGCTGTGAAAGGAATGAGGCTGTATTAGGTGACTGATGTAAGCTACGAGAGGGACTGAAAGTGTGAGGTCGTATGCATCGCACCTTCTATTGCGTCTTGCTTTGCTCGTTCTGCGCGCAGAGATGGACTTCGTCTAGTCAGTTCCTCGGTAGACTTAGCTCGCTTCTCTATAGATGTGCAACCAAGGAAAAAGAAATAAAATTGTTGGCCTTAGCAATAACGAGGACCCAACGTTTCAAAGGCTTCCCGATTAAGAACCGTATACCCTCAGTGTGAGGTGCAGGTGTACAACATACCCGGCATCTCGTCCGCCTCTTTTCGAATGACTCGAAGAGACCGACTTCTCCTGGGCACAGCTTCCGGATGACTAGTAGTGGTGATCCGTTCTTAAAGGTAACGTTACGAGTTATGGTTATAGCAAGCTGCAAATAAACATTCACAAATAGTTCCTACCTCGGCGTTCCTCTGTCTTCTGCACTACGCAATCGTCTTTTTTAGGCGTAGTGTGCTCCCTAACCACTTTAGACGTCCGAGATATTTCTTAGAGAAAAAAAGATTGGGGGTTATAATGATTTATTTGACATACACGAGATAAAGGGCGCGATAGTGCATCGCATACCTTCGGTACCATCCAGCTTTCTCCGCAGAGATCGAAGGAATGTTCCCTTCTTCGTTGCCACCCTTGAGGACGACGGCTCTGTTACGGTGGCTGCAGAATAAGTCGGTACTATGGAAACTATCGACTTTAAAAGGCATCTAGCTAACCTTTTGAGTCAGTCTTTCTCTTCGTATTATCCTCAGGTAAGCGTCGGTTCATTGCTGTTTCAGAAACGACAACATCCACCTGTGGTGCTTCTCCTGGACGAATTTGGTAGAATTACTGTTTGCGATGTCTTCAGCGAGACTGAGTGGCTTTTTTAAACTACTGGTTAAGTGAATCAAAACGTATCAAAAGGACGAGCGCTTGCGAGAAGAGCACCACCGGACTAAAAGTTGGCACTCATCCCATAGGCACGCGTCCGTGTTTGCTAGCCCTGTGATACATTCTGACTCAGAGAAAACGTCGCCTACCTTCATCCATCCCGGTCCTTTGTTTGCGAATAACCCTAAATGTACGCTGTCCTTCTTTTGTTTCCTTCAGACTCCTAGCTTGAACCTCTGTGATAAAAAAATAAACTAGTGCTTAGAAAGCACTTATTGACAGTGGCTAAGCAACCCATTTGCACGTACCAGGGGTCTCGAATCTGGACTGTCGAGTCAATCGGGGTGACTCACTCCGTCTTTTAGGTTTTGGAATTTCAGACAAAGCCGCTTTTGCTTTGTGTAGTGAAAAAAAGTATTTGAGGTTATGAGACACCAAATTTCAAAACGAGAAGCACTTCAAGTGAAACACGAATGTTCATACCTTTTCCGTTTGTTACGACCGAATCATTTGACCGAGGTCCACTAAGAGAGCGACTTCGTTTTATCGTCTGCTGGGAGCCTTTCAAATCGCGCTCTGCCGAACAAACATGCGCAGTGCTTTAGTAAGTGCATCTAGCAGAATTTTAGAGTATTTCAGCGTTGTTTACGCCACATCGTATTATTAGATACACAAGAACAGAACGGTCATTTCAGATAACTGCTGAGGTTGTATGAAGATCTATAAATGACTCAGACAGGCTGGCCGACTGCTTCAATAGTCGGACCTACCTTTGTGAAAGGTGTCTTTTCATGACCAGGCGCACCCATATATGTTTGGTGGGTTGGGAGAGTGCGTTTAATGATTGCCCACTTTTTCTGTTCTGTGTGTGTTCGCAATTGCGCTTGTACGCAGCGTATGTATACACATAAAAATTAAAAAAAAAACCTTTCTCTCTATGGCTTTTCTCGTTTTTGTTTTTTAAGGGAGCAATTCTTTTAGAACTAACAGACTAACGATGGCTATAGTCTTCTTCGACAAAGATTGGTCTACTTTTCGAAACATACGTCATCCTGTCTGGGGCACTAAACTCTCTTCATAAAACTCGTGCCACAATGTATTTCCATCCGTTGGCTCACATGACTGCATTAAATACAATGAAATCACACGTACCACCAGCAGTATTTCTGTGGTTCTCACAATTCGGAATGAACTGCTTCTTTTGCTTGTTCTTTCATGAGGCATTGTCGTTCCTTTTGAAATAGAAAATAAATAAAATCTTTAGTGGTGGCAAGTGTCATATCAGGTGAAGTTAATTAAAAATTAATTGGAGAAAGTTCTCGTAAACACCGTAATTGGTAAATTATTTACTACATCGACACTCCAGCAACCAAAAAGCTTAATTTTTCCCCCCGTCTTACCCCGCTTCTCTTCAAAATCATGAGATCTAGACCTCTTCGGGCTCCTCGATTTAGGTCTTGGTGGTAATCCGAACATAGCAGGATTGCCTTTGTCGGGGTCGTATGTACCTGGTGCTGAAGTAATAAAAATGCAACGATGATCAATAAACGGTGCTAAAGTGTCTTTCATATAGGTCTAACCTGGAAATGTTGCGTTGTCCGGTGGCCGTTCCTTGAGTCTCGAACGAATACTGAAGCGTGGTGACCTTGGATAAACCAATTCGTTCGCCCTGTCGGGATCGTACTCTCCCGGTGCTACCAGGACACAAAAAATTATAAGTGGTTATATATATATATATATATATATATATATATATATATATGAGAGAGAGAGAATTCCAGTTGTGCCTAGACATTTATCTTTAACGAGAAAACACGCAAACTAAGCAGTAAATAACAAAACAGGTAAGTTGTACAGCGTGCTCAATCCTTGTCCACTATAGACTCGGGGTGTGGACAAAGCAACGGATCAATGTCTCTTGCCAGCCGTTGTACGTGTGTACGGTCATGTAAGGAACCCCACCTACAGCCTAAAAGTAAAGCCCTCGAACACAACGTCTACCTAATACCAGAATTACCACTCTAATGAGCCTATATACGCCTAATTACGGTGGGTTGCTCGTGAAGCTTTCTAGTCTTCTGAATTGTCACTAAACAGCAGTACGTTGCGCGATTTCTTTCTGTAGGCTACTTGAGAACATTCTTGTACGCGGGTTCTCCTAGAGCTATCGTTTCAACAAGTCCTCTTGTCTTTGTCAAGGTCACTGCCTTGAAGAAGTGCCACTTAATTAAACTGTGACGTCAGCAACACCTCCCGTTCAAGCGTTTGTCATCGCTTCAAAGTTCGATGTTCTGCCTTATTGAACTCCTGCCTTACTTGAACTACCTGGGAAATTGTGACGTTTCAGTGAGAGCTAAGGAGGCCCTGTACCTAAACTGAGTTCTGGGGTGCTATGCAGGATTGCCCGAGTCAGCTCCGAGACCGCTCAGCGGCGGCCATGGCATGAAGACAGTGTGCGGGGCGCCTGATAGCAGCGCTGATAAAAATGGCTTCGGGAACACGCGTGGCATCGGAAACACATGTGGGACATTTGCGACAGTTATCAAAGAAGCACCGCGTGCGAACACGTCAGCGCCACCACTGAGTAAACATTTCAACAGTGCAGCGACGTCAGCGTAATTGTCGCACTATCTTTTTTTGCCAACTCAACAAGCGCCTCCCACAGGCGTGTTAGTGGGCTTTTGTCCTCTTTCACACAGGTTCTTTCGTTCCACCTGCAGCATGAAAATTCACGCTTTCGAAGACAGCAAGGGTGCACAAGCAGTACTCTCGTGCTGCTCGTTTCGCTTCTATGAGATATTGGAGATAAATATAAGAACAAGTTGTCACCAGGGGCGCTCGCATCACGGTGGCAACGCGACTGTGGTTGGATACGTCGCGAGCGCGTTGAAATAGAATGCGAGACATTGTAGCCACGCCTGCACGATAAAGCTGATAGATTAATTGTGCCACCCGACGTGAGTGCTGCTAACGTGGTGGGCGTACCCAATCTTCGCGGCGGGCGTCTGTCAATCAAACTGATTGACGCGTGAACTCGAACACAAACTCGCTGATCTTGAGAAGGCCCGAATTAAACTCGTCACTGTGAAAGTGCCGATGTTACTGTCAAGCGTTTGATGCAGTGAAGGTTAAGTGGTGGCAGCTTCTTTGCATATAAAATAATTTGCTGAGCTTACAGTACTTTTGCAAGGCTGGAGCCATAAAAGATCTGATAACCTAGCACCTTGCAGCTTTTTAACTTGGTCGTCTACTCATGTGCGTGCTTGGCTAGGTAGTGAAGACCGCACCAGCTCTGTCTTAATTTTAACTGTATTAATTGACTTGGGCTTAACGAACATTTCACTGAGCTGTCTTGTCTGCATGAATAAGGCTTCAATCAAAAGGCAATTATTTCGGGCACAATTAGCAATGTCATGATCAGTATGGAGCTATTAAACGTAATCAGGATTAGCAAGATACTAAATGTTATTATATTAGTAAGAGCTAACTAGCATGGTCTTACTTAGCGTAATCATGATTATGTCGCAATAATTAGCATATTTTAGTTATCTCATAACCTAGCGTGCTTTAGTTAGCCCGGTTCTCGCTTTACATGGCTTCATCAGCACGGTCTTCTTAAGATGTGGTGTAATTACTTCAGCCTTGAACTTAGCGTGTGTTAGCGCGGCAACATATAGAAATGAAGAGGAAAAGACGACAGAGACGTCTAGAAAGGTAGGCGCTACCTTTGTAGACGTCTCTGTCGTCTTTCCCTTTTCATTTCCATTTGTGCCACGCTATCACAAGCTAAGTTCATGGATAACCAACTCGCCCGAGCCACAACTCTTTTGAACCTCAGCCTTACCATGACTTGGCGTAATTAGCTTGTCATAGCATGCCCTGGCCTAACTAGCCAAGTATACCGTCCAGCCGAATCGGTAATTAGCCGATGGCACGTGCTCGGGTGCAAGTGGTCGATGACAACAAAGACGACGCACACCGGCTCAGCAGTGCGCTCGAATGTACAGGTTGACCGTAATGATTAACACGTGGCCTCGGGTTTAGCTGCAATCACGATGTTTGAAGACGCTCGGCCAGTACTGATCTCAGAGGCCACCATGCTGACTATTTTAAACATGATTAGTGCAGGCATTAACAGAATCAAAATAAATTTAAACACCTCGTGCCTCTGAAAAATATCATCCCGAAAAGTTTCTGACACATTTATTGCATCGGTGCACTTTTGCACTCAATGGAACGATAAACAAATGAAAGAAGATGTCTTTAGTTTTAAAAGACCACCCAACTTAGTCGAGCATCCTTGACGCAAAGACTGTCTTTATCGTAACGAATGAAACGCAACGCGGTGAGAGGAGAATTTGACTTCCTGGTACTGTTGGCTCGTTCATAAAGGGGTGTCGCCAGAGCTCAGGAATATCCCGAGTTTCGCAAACCTCGGCCTATCCTGCATAGCGCCCCTGGTATATATATGTAGAAATAAGAGCAGGCTTGGACACTTATATTCATGACGCTATATGTGTGCAGTGGTTGCATATAATCAGTGCATTTAGCATAACAAACTTGGAAGTTTGTGCAGTGCGGTGCACACTAACCTGGGTAACCGTAGTTGTACGGCTTGGACGGTCTTAGCCTGAAACCGAACGTGAATTTCGGAGACCTTTCTTTCACGAAGCTTACGCTTCTGCCAGGACTGTAGTCGGCCGGTGCTTAATAGCAAGAGAAACATGGAAAAGATGATTTATTGTCATTCTGGAGGTATACGTTCCAGCATCCCAAACGTATATTATACGCAAGTATTGGCTGTATAGTATATCCTATACACCATCAAGCTGTACAAAAACAATTCGCAAGTTCGGCAATCCATGAACAGCACTGGCTGTCGTCCGGTAAGTTTTATAAAAAAAAGTAACTTCGTGATCAGTTTTTCGGTGTTAAATAATATACGCTAGTTTTGTTATTTTGAACTTCAGTACCCGTGCGTTATGAAATAAGCTTACTTTGTGAATGCAATTTGCAGCTGAATGGGTCACATTGCGCGTCGCGGCCCATTGCAAAGCATAGCCGATACAGCGCACTCCTTTTCCATTATCCACTACAGAATATATTTGTTCTACCGAATACACGTGCAAGCATGTGAGAAAACGGGTTCGCATTGGCTGATTTTACTTAAGCCAAAAACTCTGAGCCCACCACTACTGTAGAATGTGGTGGGTAAATTAAGAACGTCATTATAAAAATGTGAGTGATGCTTTTTGACATCTGCTTATGGACATCATTGACCGATTCGGCCAGCTGCAAACCCTAATGAATTGAATATATACTGTACAATCGTGACACGATAACTTAAATTCCTCGAAAATAAGGTACTGAATGAAGCTGAACGAACCTGGGTAATCGACGTGATCAGGAAGCCTGTCCTTCAATTTTATTCCTAGACTAAATTTAGGAGAGCCAGCAGTAAAGCGTGTCCTTCACTCCTTGAAATGCTGTAGTCTCCAGGTGCTATTCGTGGATGGAGTAACATTTGTTATGAGTAATGATTCCTACTCCCATAACAAGTATAAGTGAAACAAATGGTATCACTTTTTGTCAAATCAGAAATGGTAATGGAACCCTACCTGGGAAGCTCGTATAATCTGGCACTGGTTGAGGTGTCCTAAAGCCTATCGTATACCTGGGAGGGGAGCCATAAACTATGTCATCTCCCTTGGAGACGTCGTAGTCACAAGCAGCTGTCAGAGGGAGCAACGGAAACGATCAGACACAGCTCGTTCTACGGCCCGCAACGCAAGTGACTTCCAGTTTCAGGAAGACAACCTCTTTTCGCCAAACCTGAACCAATAGCTGATCAATTCGTCAATACTTTCAAGATGGCTACGACAAAAAAACAGCATTTAGAGAGACTTTTGCTAATACCATCGTTGTGCATAGCACAAACATTCTCAGTGAATGAATCAAGTAGAGGACTCAATGTTTTAGTAGACAACCTGTACTTCTCGAAATATGAAGCACTGCATAAGAACGCTTTTCCTATGAAGGAAAGATTTCTAGCTTGTAGACTATTAGAGTAATTGTTCTGAAAAGTTTGGAATTATTATTAATAATATCAATTTCTTCAGTTCACTACTAGCATCCCTTCGAGCGAAAAATTTTCATGGCGCTAAACAAAGAGTCAATAAACTATGCAGCAAGACACACGTCTTATTGCAGTCTGAGCTATTTCTTTCAGCTTTTTCGTACACATCCGTGGCAAGACAAACACTTGTAGATATGTCATTTCTATCTACCTCATGTGCTTTTTTACCCCCCTTCAGCGTAATCGTGCTTTTTAAGGTATGCTTAAATGTCGACAATAAGTAAGCTATTTCAGAAAAGCCTTCACTTGGACATGTCGCATACTAACCAGGAAATTCCAGTGAATCTGGAAGCTTTTCTTTCAATTTCACGCCGATGACATGTTCAGGAGAATGGCTTCGTACCAACCTGTCAGCCTTTTCAGGGTAGTATTCTGCAGGACCTGGAGATAGGGCAGCAGGTTTAAACATTGAAGTTGACTTCGTCCTAGCAGCACCTATACTGACCAGGATAATATAAAGAGTCCGGCGGTCTATCTTTTAATTTCACGCCGATGCTGTACTCCGGAGAGTGGCTGCGGGAAACTCTATCGGCCTTTTTAATGATGTACTCTCCTGGACCTAAAGACACAGCAGTCAAGTCAGTGAACGTTCTGCTTCCCTACAACTTTTAAAGTGAACTGACCAGGATAATCCAATGAATCCGGCTTTATTTCCTTTAGCTTGACACCAATCTTGTATTCTGGGGAGTGGCTGCGTGCAACTCTATCAGCCTTTTCTATGTTGTATTGTCCAGGACCTGAAGACATATCCCCGTAATGAGCATGCTGCATCACTACAGCTTTAGGAACAACTGACCAGGATATTCCAATGAATCCGGTCTTCTCTCGTGTAACTTGGCACCCATCTTGTACTCTGGGGAGTGACGGCGCGCAATTCTGTCGGCCTTTTCTATGTTGTAGTCTCCAGGACCTAAAGATACATATATTGAGTCAATCAAATTTATGTTTCCCTATATCCTTGTAAAAAAACTGACCAGGGTAATCCAATGAATCCGGTCGTCTATCCTTTAGCTTGACGCCTATCTTGTATTCTGGAGAGTGGCTACGTGCAACTCTATCGGCATTTTCTATGTTGTACTCCCCAGGACCTAAAGACAGAGGCAATGCAGTGAGTGTTCTGCTTCACAGCAGCTTTGAGATATAAACTGACCAGGGTAATCCAGTGAATCTGCTTTCCTCTCCTTTAACTTAACACCAATCTTGTACTCTGGGGAGTGGCTGCGTGCAACTCTATCGGCCTTTTCTATGTTGTAATCTCCAGGACCTGAAGACACATCAACGGAATGAGCATGCTGCATCACCACAGCTTTAGGAACAACTGACCAGGATATTCCAATGAATCCGGTCTTCTCTCCTGTAACTTGGCACCCATCTTGTACTCTGGGGAGTGACGGCGCGCAATTCTGTCGGCCTTTTCTACGTTGTAGTCTCCAGGACCTAAAGATACATATATTGAGTCAATTAAATTTATGTTTCCCTATATACTTGTAAAAAAGACTGACCAGGGTAATCCAATGAATCCGGTCGTCTCTCCTTTAGCTTGACGCCTATCTTGTATTCCGGAGAGTGGCTACGTGCAACTCTATCGGCGCTTTCTATGTTGTACTCCCCAGGACCTAAAGACAGAGTCAATGCAGTGAGTGTTCTGCTTCACAGCAGCTTTGAGATATAAACTGACCAGGGTAATCCAGTGAATCTGCTTTCCTCTCCTTTAACTTAACGCCAATCTTGTATTCTGGAGAGTGGCTGCGTGCAACTCTATCGGCCTTTTCTATGTTGTAATCTCCAGGACCTGAAGACACATCAACGGAATGAGCATGCTGCATCACCACAGCTTTAGGAACAACTGACCAGGATATTCCAATGAATCCGGTCTTCTCTCCTGTAACTTGGCACCCATCTTGTACTCTGGGGAGTGACGGCGCGCAATTCTGTCGGCCTTTTCTACGTTGTAGTCTCCAGGACCTAAAGATACATATATTGAGTCAATCAAATTTATGTTTCCCTATATCCTTGTAAAAAAACTGACCAGGGTAATCCAATGAATCCGGTCGTCTATCCTTTAGCTTGACGCCTATCTTGTATTCTGGAGAGTGGCTACGTGCAACTCTATCGGCATTTTCTATGTTGTACTCCCCAGGACCTAAAGACAGAGGCAATGCAGTGAGTGTTCTGCTTCACAGCAGCTTTGAGATATAAACTGACCAGGGTAATCCAGTGAATCTGCTTTCCTCTCCTTTAACTTAACACCAATCTTGTACTCTGGGGAGTGGCTGCGTGCAACTCTATCGGCCTTTTCTATGTTGTATTCTCCAGGACCTGAAGACACATCACCGGAATGAGCATGCTGCATCACTACAGCTTTGTAGGAACAACTGACCAGGATATTCCAATGAATCCGGTCTTCTCTCCTGTAACTTGGCACCCATCTTGTACTCTGGGAGTGACGGCGCGCAATTCTGTCAGGCCTTTTCTACTGTTGTAGTCTCCAGGACCTAAAGATACATATATTGAGTCAATTAAATTTATGTTTCCTATATCCTTGTAAAAAAGACTGACCAGGGTAATCCAATGAATCCGGTCGTCTCTCCTTTAGCTTGACGCCTATCTTGTATTCTGGAGAGTGGCTACGTGCAACTCTATCGGCATTTCTATGTTGTACTCCCCAGGACCTAAAGACAGAGGCAATGCATGTGAGTGTTCTGCTTCACAGCAGCTTTGAGATATAAACTGACCAGGGTAATCCAGTGAATCTGCTTTCCTCTCCTTTAACTTAACACCAATCTTGTATTCTGGGGAGTGGCTGCGCGCAACTCTATCGGCCTTTTCTATGTTGTATTCTCCAGGACCTGAAGACAGATCAACGGAATGAGCATGGTGCATCCCTACAGCTTTGTAGGAACAACTGACCAGGATATTCCAATGAATCCGGTCTTCTCTCCTGTAACTTGGCACCCATCTTGTACTCTGGGGAGTGACGGCGCGCAATTCTGTCGGCCTTTTCTACGTTGTAGTCTCCAGGACCTAAAGATACATATATTGAGTCAATTAAATTTATGTTTCCCTATATACTTGTAAAAAAGACTGACCAGGGTAATCCAATGAATCCGGTCGTCTCTCCTTTAGCTTGACGCCTATCTTGTATTCCGGAGAGTGGCTACGTGCAACTCTATCGGCGCTTTCTATGTTGTACTCCCCAGGACCTAAAGACAGAGTCAATGCAGTGAGTGTTCTGCTTCACAGCAGCTTTGAGATATAAACTGACCAGGGTAATCCAGTGAATCTGCTTTCCTCTCCTTTAACTTAACGCCAATCTTGTATTCTGGAGAGTGGCTGCGTGCAACTCTATCGGCCTTTTCTATGTTGTATTCTCCAGGACCTGAAGACAGATCAACGGAATGAGCATGGTGCATCCCTACAGCTTTGTAGGAACAACTGACCAGGATATTCCAATGAATCCGGTCTTTTCTCCTGTAACTTGGCACCCATCTTGTACTCTGGGGAGTGACGGCGCGCAATTCTGTCGGCCTTTTCTATGTTGTATTCTCCAGGACCTGAAGACAGATCAACGGAATGAGCATGCTGCATCACTACAGCTTTGTAGGAACAACTGACCAGGATATTCCAATGAATCCGGTCTTCTCTCCTGTAACTTGGCACCCATCTTGTACTCTGGGGAGTGACGGCGCGCAATTCTGTCGGCCTTTTCTATGTTGTATTCTCCAGGACCTGAAGACAGATCAACGGAATGAGCATGCTGCATCACTACAGCTTTGTAGGAACAACTGACCAGGATATTCCAATGAATCCGGTCTTCTCTCCTGTAACTTGGCACCCATCTTGTACTCTGGGGAGTGACGGCGCGCAATTCTGTCAGCCTTTTCTATGTTGTAGTCTCCAGGACCTAAAGATACATATATTGACTCAATTAAATTTATGTTTCCTTATATCCTTGTAAAAAAACTGACCAGGGTAATCCAATGAATCCGGTCGTCTCTCCTTTAGCTTGACGCCTATCTTGTATTCTGGAGAGTGGCTACGTGCAACTCTATCGGCATTTTCTATGTTGTACTCCCCAGGACCTAAAGACAGAGGCAATGCAGTGAGTGTTCTGCTTCACAGCAGCTTTGAGATATAAACTGACCAGGGTAATCCAGTGAATCTGCTTTCCTCTCCTTTAACTTAACACCAATCTTGTATTCTGGGGAGTGGCTGCGTGCAACTCTATCGGCCTTTTCTATGTTGTAGTCTCCAGGACCTAAGGATACAGATATTTAGTCAATGAAATTTATGCTTCCCTAATGCCTTGTAAGATATACTAACCAGGATAATCCGATGAGTCCGGTCTTTTTTAATTTAACTTGGCAGCAAGTTTCTACTCTGCCCAGTGGATGTGTGCCATTCTATCAGCCTTTTCTATGTTGTACTCGCCAGGACGTAAATAAATAGCAATTGATATAAATATCCTGTGCTTCACTGTATCCTCGAGCGTTTGACTGACCAGGGTAATATAGTCTATCTGGTCTTCCCTGTCCTAACCTGGCGCCAATCCTGTGACAAGGATAATGAGTGTGAGTAACCTGGTCGGCTTTTCCCACGTCGTACCGTGCAGGTCCTGAGGTCAGAGTCAAGTCATTAGTTGATGTCAGTGCTGATTATTCGGGGTCTAAAAAGCCCGGTCATTGCACCTTACAATATTTTGCACTAATTTTTTTCATCAAGGATATCAATTATTCTTCTCAGTGAAATATCCGATAAGAATTTGTAAGTAATGGTGGTATTATGCAGACTCAACTAACCGGGATAGTCATGTGATTCCGGTGGCCCGTATTTTAGCTTGACTCCCATTTGGTGCTGCGGGGATCGACTTCTTGTGATTTCTTCTGACCTTTCCACGCTGTATTCACCGGGACCTGAAACGTTCGTTTGGATTGTAAATTCTATAGCGTTACTACTCAGATTCCGTGTACAGCCGTCTTATAAATGACATAAGAAAGGAGATGTACCAACACACCCGGGTACTGCACAGATTCTGGTGGTTTGTCTTTAAGCTTCTTGCCGATGTGGTGCTCTGGCGCTCGCATTCTCGTAACAAGGTCTGCTTTTCTCACGTCGTAGTCACCCGGACCTACATGTTTATTTGTTCATTTCGTTCATTTTCATCCGCTGTAGTTTAATTTAACCAAGTGCAAAGAACAAAACGAGTGCAAACGTGATAAATCTACCCATGACTAACCAGGGTAATGAAGTGAATCCGGTGATTTCTCTTCAGGCCTGATGCCAATTTATGCTGTGGCGAACTATTTCTTATCATGCGATCTGCTTTTTCCACATCGTATTCTCCTGGACCTGCAGATACAACCAAGCTTTGTCACTATGTTACAGCAATAAGTTATCATATATTTGAAACAAAAGAAAAACGAGATATACTTTATATGAAATGAACCAACCTGGGTAGCCCAGAGATTCTGGTGGTTTCTCTTTAAGCTTGACTCCAATTTTATGCCGGGGTGAGTGACTTCTGACCAAGTGGTCTGCTTTTTCCGCACTGTAATCCCCTGGTCCTGAGGACAGCAGTCGCGAGTTTGTGCATTGTGCTACCGACTAATTGTAAAATGCAACACATATCAAACAGTCGTGTTTCAAACAGAGCTACGTAAGGTGCTAACCTGGATAATGAAGAGATTCTGGTGGCTTCTCTTTTAGTTTCACGCCCATGCGATGTTGCGGTGAGTGACTTCTTGTCACGTGGTCTGCTTTCTCAATGTTATATTCACCGGGTCCTGGAGGATTACTTAGCTTTAGCGATGATTGTCATCAGCATTTCAAAAATATACGAGAGACGTCTTTAAACTAAATAATTCATAAAAACTACTGACCAGGATAGTCTATAGACCCTGGCTTGTCTTTTATCTTGACACCAATTTTATGCTCTGGTGACCGGGTTCTTGTGACCTGGTCTGCCTTCTCGATGTTGTATTCACCGGGTCCTGAGAGCGCGATGAGATTTATAAATAATAATCATCAGCATTCCGAAACTATACAAAAGAGACGGCATTTAACCGAGGAATTCGGGAGAAGCAACAGACCCGGATATTTTGGGACTCTTGCGGTTTGTCTTTTATCTTGATACCAAATGTATGCTGTGGTGACCGACTTCTTGTTACGTGGTCCGCCCTGTCCACATTGTATTCACCTGGACCTATTTGTAGACGTCACCGTACTTCAGTAATAAGTACAGTAAGGTAAATGTATAAAGGCACGAAATAGTTAATGGACACAACGTAATTGAATGGGACGAACCGGGAAAATTAATCGACTCGTGTGGCCTTTCTTTTAGCCTGCAGGCTATCTGGTGTTGCGGTGAGTGGCTTCTGGTCGCATGGTCCCCTCTGTCAGCATCGTATTCACCTGGTCCTATGGACAGTGTTCACTTTTACTAAGTAATCGTCACCAAAAATACGGTGCCCATTTATGATCACTCTGAAAACTGTCACACCCACTGGGGCGTCTTTTTTAGCACCGGTCTCACCTGTACTTCCCTTCTTGAAATTCTCACTACTACTTTCCAGCTAAGAACGCTATGCCACGCACATAGCGCGCGCAGCCATTCGTAAAGTGCAGGTAGCGGATATTCATATCTCGGGTTTTACGAGACGAAACTATGATGTCACTATACGACATCCTAGTGAAGCCTCCGGACATTTTTTTTTTTTGACCAACATGCGTTCTTTAACGTTCACTGAAATCGCGAGGTAGAGTGGGTTCTAGCGTTTAACCTGCATGCAAACCCTCTACTTTTGGGTCCGCGGCGAATATCCGTAACAACTGTACCAGGTACCAGGCACCTGAGTGCACGACATTGGAGCTAAATATTCTCGCAAGATAGAGGGCGTTATTATAGTTTAACGAGATAAACAGAACCCAAAGAGGGCAACTACTTTCAAAGTTCAATTTCCTTCAGTGTGTGTGTTTGATAAACGTCACTGACCAGGATACCGCAGAAACTCAGGCGACTTTTCTTTTATCTTGACTCCAATGCGATGCTGCGGTGAGCGGCATCTAGTGATACGGTCTGATCTGTCGGCATTGTATTCACCCGGACCTTGAAGGGATTGCGTTTCAGCATTAATGGTGTAACTTATAACAGACACCTAAACTAACGCGTGATCAGTAAGTTAACTTGTACTGACCCGGGTAGTGAAGAGAATCGGGTGACCTGTCTTTCAACTTGGTACCAATTCGGTGCTGTGGCGACCGCTTCCTCGTCGCGTGATCTGCTTTGTCAACGTTGTATTCACCGGGGCCTAAGGGTTCATTGCGTTTATATATATTGAGTTCATACGTGTAGAAACACAAGCATGGGAAGAAAAGAAGCAGTTGGTAGAGTGCAGGGATTTCAAAAACTACGTAACTGACCCGGGTATTGCAGAGATTCCGGTGGCCTGTCTGTTATCTTGACGCCGAACCTGTATCGTGGAGAGCGACTTCTGGTCACGTGGTCAGCTCTTTCTGAGTGGTATTCGCTTGGCCCTACAGAAGTGATACTGGAGCTAGCACTGACGTGCGACTGGTGAATATCAACGTGAATGAATCTCGAAGCCATACTAACCGGGGTAGTCGAAGTGCTCGGGAGGCTTTTCTTTAACTTTGACCCCATTTGGTACTCTGGTGATCTAGTGCGCACTATGCGATCTCCTTTGTCTGGACTGTACTCTCCCGGGCCTGAAAATGTCATAAACGAGCGCGAATTCTAAAGTTCTTGGATGAAAAACTGCAGGCGAGTATAATTCGCAAGCTAACGATATCAAAGCATTTCGTTCTAATTTATGTTTCTGCGGGCCATCCTATACGATTAAATATTTTTATGATGGCCCTCAAGTACCCAAACGACCACTCCTTGGTCTTGCTGGCATACCAAAGAAAATATATTTAAACAAACTAATATGTACATGAAAGGACTGGTAGAAAACATACCGCAGAGTGACACGAAATTTGTTTGGTGCAAGAGCGGCAAGTCAACGGGCAATGAAATCACTATGAGGGAAAACGAATGGCAATTGTATTACTGCAGCACCAGCTTCTTTCAAAGTCTTTCAAATTCTTTCCGGCTATGTCATCGTCATCAAACGCATGACACATTTTATGAGCGTAAGCGAAATTGGCTTTGACCTTTGCCCTAATTCGATTTGTCACACTTATCTACCAGCGAACAAAACAAATTAGCCAGAATTAAGTAGAGCTGTTTGGAAAGCACTTTAGAGAGATGTATAGAGAAAAAAAGCAAGGTAATGGTAAAGCTTTCTTTTGTGTCGTGCAGCTACAACAAAAGTTTCGTGCTTTCAAAACAACATGTGCTTTGACGTTACTTCAAGCCAGAAAAACCCTAACATGATGACTAACCTGGGAATTTCAGGGAATCCGGAGGCTTGTCTTTAATCTTTAATCCGAAGCTGTACTGCGGCGATCGATAGGTCGCCGTAGTTTTTCCTCTGCTTATATTGTAGTCCGTAGGACCTGCGAATGTTCTTGCTGTTCACGCTGTGAAAATGAACTTTCACAAAAAAAGGGAATTCACAAACCAGGAAAGTCTACGGACTCTGGCGCTTCGTGATGTAGCCTCTCGGCAAGGCTGAACTGCGGGGCTCTTGAAAAAACTGTCGTGTCCGCCTTCGTCGTGTCGTAGTCTCCTGGGGCTGAACAAGTACGCGCTTTCAGCTACAGAATGACCAATGTGTACGAGCGTGGGCAATGGCAATGTGTATTGAACGAACCGGGAAACTCAGCGCTGTCGGACGACCTTTCTCTCAGTCGGTAGGCCATCGTGTGCTCTTGAGGTCTGGTGTACAGAGTCCCGTCTGCTCGGGTTACGTCGTAAGTTCCAGGCGCTGCCGAAGTGAATATGTATGAAGGAAGCATGTACTCAACTTCAGTACACAATAGCTCACAGCTCTGAACCATGTAAAAGAGTTCCGTCTTTCTGTCTCCGCCGATTAACATGAAGTTATTATTCGCGCAGAGTTATCTGCAAGGATTACTGGAGGACCCTGTTTTTTGTGTGCGAAAGCTGCAAACATGGTGGGTTCAACCATCATTATTTAAAATTGATTGTGTTGGCTCCAAACAGCTTTGTATCTCTGTGGGCCAATCATATGCCGAGAAGTAGAGTGTTGTAAATGTAATGTCATTGAATAAGCGTATATTTGTGCACAAACATATTTCCTTGAAAGCTTTATTGTAAATGTATGCAAAAACATAGCGCCTTGCAACGTTAGTAGAAACAAGATTTCTTCTTCATCAAACCCAAGCGGAATGCATAATGCCTCCAGAACATCTGAAGTTGATTATTTAATATTCGTTAAATTAGCGAAGATTAGCCACACCCATGTACTACGCGTCAGTTCCCCGGTATAGCAGATTGATAACAGTGACAGAGCTTTCTCTGGCAATCTTTAGAAGACTCCGTCTCACGAGCCATAGCGTTGCTGTTCTCCCACTATGATTTAAGCAAACGCATCATCATTTAAAAAGAGTGGTGGGGAGGGTGGGTGGAAAAGGTGCTCTAGTCACCTCTCAACTTGTCTACGAAAATGCGTTCCACAACTAAGTCACTTCAAGCAACAGTTCCCCAGCAACTAAATCAGCGTTTTACATATGTTTCAAGTTTATATTTTGATCATTTCGTGCAGTGCTTCCGTGCAGATAACTAAATTCAAAATAAACAAAAGTGCAGTAGTCCACAGTGCGCAGCTGTAAAAGGTGCAAAAGTAAGTCACAAAAAAAGTTCCCCACGCACCAGGAAAGTCCTCCGTTTTGGATTCTTTTAGGCGCCTGCCGAAGGAATACTCCGGTGGTCTAGTGTGAGAGCTGTCGTACACCTTTGCACCATCGTACGATCCAGGACCTGGCATGAGAAATTCCTCTCAACAATGTAATGAAAGGACTAGCCTTGAAATTTATGCCTTAGAACTCATCGTACCCTTCTTCTGCCATTTCTGAAGGAACAGAGTATGGTGACAGGAGGTTTTCTGGCCTATCGTCTTCCCCCACATCCTTCCAGTCTCAGTGAAGGCAATACATTGGCTGGTACCTGCCACTGTACCTTAAATATGCTTCTATATTAGGAATGTTCGCTAGTATTGACTAAGTGCTGGTAAATGCAGGCTAAGTTGGCTAAGTTGGCCAATCAAGACATCATACTCAAGACAGTCATACTGTCATAATTATAATCAAGATAATCATACTGTGAAGTTTAAAGTTTGACGGAAGCCCGTATGGTCGGGATGATACATGGTTGAAGGTAAAAAAACCTGGATGCACTGCGCCGACCAAAGTGAAAGTAAAAAAAAACAGAAAAAGAACGTTTCGGCTCCCACGGGGAATCGATTTCACTATGAATTGAATTGATTTCACTATGAACAAGGCTTCCGTGTGAAAGCTTAAGCGTCCGTTTTCTGTGTTTTTTTTTCTTATTAAACTTTTACTTTTGTCAGCGCAGTGCCTCCAGTTTTTTTTTTTTTTTACCTTCAACAACAATCATACTATGTTATCATCATCCACCTCAGCCTGTATTGTGTCCACTGCAAGGCGAAGGCCACTCTCAATGATTTCTTCAACCTACCCTGTTTTGTCCAAGCTAATTTCATCTTATCCTGCAACTTTCTTAATCGACGCTCCACCTAACCTTTTGCCGTTCAGACTTCCCATCTCTTCCCACTGAAAAGCGTTGAGACTGACCTGGTTGTTTTTCGGGGCTAGGCTCGCGGAGTCGTCGTCGTATCGAGAAGCTGGGAGATTTCGGGTAGACCACTGAGTCTCCCTTTTCGATGTCGTAAACACCCGGAGCTGCGATGAAGTTGCCACAGACGCGCCACACTCTGGCACTGTTTCACAACACTACAATTTCAAACACACATGCAAGCAACTCTAATTTTCATCGTTGAATAGTAATAGTTTTCAAGGCTTCTACAGTAAAATTAGAGCTAAGAAAAGGACCATCTTACAGTATCCTTTCTGTCACTCTTCCGGCTATATAACGGCAATGGCATGTAACGTAGTACACAACCAGATTATGTGAGCATTGCATGACGTAGTTATTGATTGTTTTACAGAATTTTCGCTCCTGCCGTACTGGTTATCGTTCGCTGTAAAGCTACGCTTCAGCGCTTCAAATGAATAGGAAGACACGTCTAAAACTTGTCCTACTTTTTCTAGCCTTCAAACGACAGCATTTGCGGAGAGCCACAATGTGTTGTAACTGAGTTAAGGCGTCAGAGCGCTGTAGCTGCCGTGTTGTCATATGGTAGAATTCTTCTGGCATTTCGTTGCTATGTGCCTTATGCGGTATGACCAACCCGAAACACGTGTTACTCGAAGACCAGCGATTACAGCGTCCAAGTGCTGATAAAAAGTTGTTGACGAGGTGTTGACGCAGTACCATGCGCGGTGCCACAAGCGACGCAATTTTGAGGTGACCACGCACGTGATGAAGAATACCGGAAATCTCGCTTATTTGAGTTCATCGCCAGTCACTTTCCAAGAGCATGCAGATCAAAGTGCTGAGAGGTATATGTATGGCAGAATGTTCGGAGTGGAAAAGTGCATAGTGTGTGAGGGTATGACGTGCACAGCGTTTGATTTGGCCAGAACTGCACAACGTCTGCGGTTCGTTTGCCATGTTCTTCGTAGAGAAGGAGGGGAATCATGGGGGTGGCGATTTGGGCTTGTTGGTATGGTTGCATGATGATGGATGGTAGCGCAGACAACGAACACGGACAAGAGAGTTGTGTCTATGTGCCTTCTCTTGTCCGTGTTCGTTGTCTGCGCTACCATCCATCATCAGGGAATCATGGGTTAGCTTAGAAAGCGGTGATATTTGCATGAAAAGGCTGTTGATGAGGAAGAGTGGGTGTTCGTAAACGTGCTACCAACCACATGTGGCACACTCAAAAAGAGTTTCACCACGGAGTATACGGTCTTATACAATGTTTTTTACGGCTGCCACTCATCAAGGTAGTATTTGCGTCACCGGTACATGTAAATAATGAGCGTGTCACAAAAAAAAGGCGAAGTAATGTTCTTTTGTAAAACTACCTGACAAATTTACTCGTTGCCATACAGAGTCAGTTTAAAATGTTTCTTTCGACTGCGGCCGCTGATACGTAGGACCCACGGGCAATCGTGCTAACCGGAGATTATCGGAACATAAGAGGTCACTAACTGGACGCTCACTATCTGATCTACCTTAACAGTGTCGAGAATGAATGGGTGACAGATTTCGATGAATTTGCAGTGTCGTCCCGCCGCAAGAATGAAGGCTCCCTGCCGCGGTGGTCTAGTGGCTAAAGCACTGAGCTGCTGACCCGCAGGTCGCGGGATCGAATCCCAGCTGCGGCGGCTGCGTTTCCGATGAAGGCGGACATGCGGTAGGCCCATGGGCTTTGATTTGGATGTACGTTAAAGAACCCCGTGAGCTAAAGATTTCTGGAGCCCTCCACAACGGCGTCTCTCTTAATCATATGGTGGTTTCGGGAAGTTAAACCCCGCATATCAATCAATCAATCAATCAATCAATCAATCAATCAATCAATCAATCCATCAATCAATCAGAAGGAAGGCACGCTTTTGACAGTATAGACTGGCATATTGATAGCAGTGGTAGCGCATGCATCAGCCAGCCGTTGACTAGCTTGGATAAAAAAAAAAAGAAATCGAATGCCTGAACAGGTAACTCTCATATAGACCCCACCGCGTGCTGAATCGATAAGTGTCACCCCATGCCTTGTCATGCGCAGATTCGTGTCCCCCTTCTCCTTCACCTCTGTACGTCTTTTGAACTGTCAGTCGGCGTTTGGGGTATTATTGCTCTGTGCCTGTGTTTGCACGTGCTTCCCTGGAAATATTCCTCGTGGCAGGTGAAGCTGCAAGGCGTGTTTCATTGAGTCCAATTCATGGTAGGTGGGGTCAAGCGAATCAAGGTTATGGAGCGCAATGTGTAACGCAACAATTCCATTGAAGTGCTAGTATTGATTGATTGATATGTGGCGTTTAACGTCCCAAAACCACCATATGAGTAATAGAGACGCCGTAGTGGAGGGCTCCGGAAATTTCGACCACCTGGGGTTCTTTAACATCCACCCAAATTAGAGCACACGGGCCTACAACATATCCTCCTCCATCGGAAATGCAGCCGCCGCAGCCGGGATTTGATCCCGCGACCTGCGGGTCAGCAGCCGAGTACATTAGCCACTAGACCACCGCGGCGGGGCGAAGTGATAGTATGCTACAGAGACGACTACGCAAGCGTTAGGATTACTACACGTAAGTGAATATACATCTGTATGTTTACAGGCCGACTCTCCAGCTTTTCCTTTGTCAGTTCTAAGTGGCCACGCTGACCTCCCTGTTGTTTATTTTTCAATCAATACACCACTCTTTCCCTCTTAATTTCGCAGCCAAGAAAAAAATCCCCGAACACGGCGTGTCGCTGGGGGAATAACATTCTGGCTAGTCAAGGCAGTTGCTTTCTTGAGACATCTCCACTTGCCAAGATGGTGACGGCACGGCAATCTGTGTTCAAAAAAATTTTGCATCCCTTCAAGCTTCTATCTTCCCATAAACTGCTTTCTTAAGAACATAGCCATAGAAAAAGTGAAAATGCAGCAATAGTTCCAGATAAGGCAGTGTGCATGGTGCAACAAGCGACGAGTGTAACCGTGCTATAGTAGATAGGCGTCTTGGGGTGGTTGCTTGCTGGGCTACAGTTGGTTCATTGCCTACCTACGCAACAGCGCACTAAACTACAAAAGACAGCAGGGACAGACAGTAGAAATTGCAGAGTGGAACCGAGTTGGTTCGTGTCCTCGGAGATAAGGCAAGAACAACGTGACATTTGCCGCTTGCTCGCCCGGTGTCGCTCTGGCAAAAAAAAAAAGAAAATACGAAAAGGCCTTTCACGTGCGCAATGGTTGTTCCTATTTTGAGTGCTGACGAGCGTGCCTCAAAAAACAAAGGGTGCAGCGGGATTTCGTGATGCAGGGCGGTGCAACGAGCATGACGAAGTGCAGAGTCGGAAAAGGTGCCCAGTGGGCGCGCGCATGCGCAGTTCGTTTTACCGGGGTTGTCGTTGGGTCGAAAGAGGCTCTTAAGTTTGAGGCCGAAGGAGTAGCGGGGTGCTCGTCTGTTTCGGTGGACGAGCTGCGGGCGGCGGTGAGTTTCTTCTTGGCTTGGCCGGTCTGCCTCTGAAAGCAATGTCGACGGGGTTACCGAGGCGACACGATCGTTGCAGTTACCTTCCGTACGTGCGTTTCGTTTCCACTTTGATATGAAAAAGCATACTACAACAGAAAAGTAGCTAGAGAATGTTTATGTAGAAGTGTAAACATGGGAAGTTACGTTTCGTTAAAACGGGTTGTTTCGAATAACGATAGTAATATATAACTAACCAATATTCAATAACATGAAAAGGAAGAAATAAATAGGTTACGCACACCTAAGAACACAAGTGTGCGATGATTGCCCCTCTGCAGGCAAACTCCGTAACATGCACAGCATGTATGGTATACCTAAACATCTTTCAGGAACCTGGAGACCAGACGGATCACGACATCGGTTCGTTAACAAATGCACACAATATAATAGAACTAGGCAAGCAGCAGTAAGACAAATAACATTAGTACTGAGTCCACTAAAAAAAATTGTGAAGGGCGCTTTTTCGGGCATATTCATGGTTCGTACACTTCATCCAGTTTTTAGGAGTAGTATTTCTAGAATTATCAATAATCACGCACTCAAATGGGCCACTTCTTATAATGTAACATGTAGTAAGCACTCTGTTGTAATATTGTTTAGCGAATGACGAGAAAGTTGCACTGAAACTTTTCGCAGCGTTGACAGATTTTGCTCAAAGCCTGGGAAAGGTCAGCTCTTCGTCTTCGCGCGCGTCGTACAAAAGACCAAGAGCAAGATGCATGTAGGAGCACAATCTGCTGAATCATCAGAGTAATCACAGTGAGTTCATGCAACTTGATTTCGTTTTTGTCTGATGTAACGCAAAAAGCATGATGTCTAGGCTAGGTCTCCGCGTACACGATGTATTAGAGTTGCGCCAAACATCAGCTCAATTTTCTGTGGTCGAGTAGCAATGTTTTCCCGCGCTTGTGAACAAGCAACCCGGCAATGCGCCGTTGCGCGTCGTTTGTTTCCTTCTTTTTCTTGTGATCCGTCTTCCACGCTGTTTTGTATCTGCCATGTACCAACACGCCTAGGCATCCACTTTAGCAACACATGAAACACTGTTTGTGTCCATTCTCCCTATGAAAGAATAGTTCAAGTGTAAGGAATTGTAAGAAATGTAAAAAAAACAATAGACAGGGTTTACTGGCGAGTTTTTATTTCATGACTGTATTTCAAAAATATCCAACAGAAACACATATATTATAAAATTACAGCAATCAACATAAAAACTTAGAGTCTTCATGTCGCATTAATGTGCACACAAATATTGGACGTGGCGCAGTGTTCAGTGGTGAAGCTCGCTATCACTTTATTGATGTGGAATCTGTTTAGGTATCTTGCTCAGCTGTCTCTGTGAACTCGACAGAATCCAGCTGAGTGAACTCATGAAGTGTAAACATATACACCCTGGGGTTGAGGTGATGGCCGGTACGACACGCCCATTTCGCAACTACAGGATGGACTCGAGCAAGCACGATCAAGGTCATCAGAATGAACATTAACGTCGTATCGTATTCAGAAAGTGCCGTTTTTTTTCCGTGTTCATGCTCTCCAAGTGAACACCATTCACAAAGTGTGCATGCTCACATGTGCTCACGTTCACTAAGTTCGTGAACTTGAACTGATGTGCACGTCCACCTTACATGAGCTTGTCTGTATCCAGTTCATGCCATCTTAGCCATAAGCGTGTGCAGGGTTCCCCCTTCATAGCGGAGGGGGGGGGGGTGGCAGTGAAGGTGTATTTAGCACCCCATTCTAAAACATCATTGTATGAGGGAGACCTCGGGCTACTAGCCCCCCCTCCCCTCTCTCCGGTGCCACGCTTATCCCAGATTTTATGAATGGATCCATTGCTGCGGCCAGCGGGCAGCATTCAAGCGCGCGCCCTTTCCGTGGATGCTGTCCGAGTGCAAAGACCGCGCGCCATCTATAGGCTAAAGACGGAAAATGCGGAAAGTCGGAGCGCGAAAAATTGAAGATCGTTTGTTTCTCTGAAACACTACAGAGAGCGCTGTAGTGTTCCTTACACGTTTCACGTCGCAGTATTTTCATTGACTCCATCAGTGAATTCTTAAGTAGACCCGAACACACATTTCAAATTTATAATAATGTATGCGGGTAGAGTTGACTTTCACGTGAGCAGCAGATGACCAGCAACATACACGCAGTAACAGTGTTAGAAATTCGTTCATGATATTCACGGCGATATTGGCCTGTCTTATCGCCTGGTTTACTACGCACAGTACGTTTTGAGTGATTAGTATGGTACGTAAAATGATAACACACGCACACGCGTACGAGCGCATGCACGTTCGAGTTACCGTTTTTGTTATAACAACACGCCACAGTACCAAGCACCAGCTTGGTTAGGCGCTGTTGCAATTCACCCAGGCTTTGCAGCCTGAAATCGTTCAACCATGCTGGTATGCACACTGTAAACGAAGGCTCCCTCCATAATTCGCTTTGGGCTGTTGCTAAAATGCACGACACCTCCTCCCGCTCTCTCCATTCAGAAAAAACAATCACTGCTAAGCCTGTGACGTCACCGTTTGCGTTTCCGTGCCACAGTCCAGGAAGGAGATGGTTCTTCCCTCCATTGAATGGAGAGTGTATTAGGAGTCAACAGCGTTGCCAGACTCACCGGGTATGTCGGCGGGCTTCGGGTCCCTGATCTTCGAGCCGAAGGTGTACATGGGCGCGGCGCTGAGCACGCACTGCTCGGCCTTCTCCGGGTTGTAGGCGCCCGGCGCGGGCGTCTTGAAGCCCTCGGGCTCGCGCAGCTTGGGCGCCATGGTGGGCGCCGGCACCGTCTCCTTGCCCTTCTCAGAGAGGCCCGCGATGTTGTACGCGCCGGGACCCGGGACGAAGAGGTCGCGCTTCTCCTCGGTCCTGCGTCATCAGAGGAGAGTCGGTTAGGCGCACCCGCTCGTTGTAGCACGAAAAATGACCAAGGAGAGAGCGCGCACTCAAGGTACGTCGCCACTTTTTAGAGCGAAAGCTGTTGTGAGATCCCAAGAACAGCCGATTTCGGTGGCTTAGTTCTTCACCGCCGCCACCGTCGGTGGTCGTACCGTTATCACGCGATTAGAAAACAAAAAGTCTAGCCTTGAACGGGATTTGGACCCAGGCCTGCTTCGTGGTGGTCCAGTATCTTGCCACTTTGTCATATCAACGCTTGAAGCCCTCTACCCCTTTCCCGCAAAAAAAAAAAACGAAACAAATGGCAGGCCTGCGCGAAACGCGCAGCACGGTCACAACAAAAGCTGGAAGAGCAGCCTTTCTACGACGAAAGCTGTTATATTATTTTTGGCACCGCAGTCGTCCACGACCATCTCTTGAAGTAAGAAACCATAAGAAAACAAAAGCGAAATAAGGCGAATATAATAACAGCCCAATCTAGAAGTAGTTACAGCATCACTACGGAAGGGAGAAACAATGACAGAAACGAACTACTTTTAGGTTGCGCTATCGTATATTAAGTTATGTCCTAACTTGCAAACGTTTCAACGCGAAATAAGGTGTCCCTCCGTTTCACGTATGAAGTAGCACGAAGTAAGGCTATAAGTTTTTTAAACTGGCAGATTTCATTCCACGTCAACATGCATGTGTGCTGGAAATATTAATCATGCTCTAAAAAAGACTTCCTGATATACAGTTTTTACCACTCAGAGCTAACAAATGAGGATATAGCAATGAATTTGTTTCAAGAGCGCGTTGCGAAAGAGCTGCTTTCACACGATGCAGGTGAGTGTATAGCAACAAGCTAGTAGTCTGAAGTTCAGTTGGGTTCCCGGACCATGTGACGCAAGCGGTCACCGATAAGCTGCTGCAAGAGCAAGAAAGGTCGCACAGTGCGGAAACAGATAACGCCTCTGCTTACTCACGGGACCAATGCAATTTTGTGGTCAAGCCAGATGTAGCATAAGTTATCGCACGAAATCAAGAAGATTGGCGATGAAATATGGTATGCCCAGTGCCATTCAACTGTTAGGGTGAATACGGCTCAGCGTAACAGCACTGTGCAGGAGCGCCTGTGAAGCCGGAGCGGCCGCGTCTCGAATTAAAGTGGCGCAGGCGCACACGAGCGCACCGCACTTGATGTACAGCCGACAGGCAAGATTGTCTTCTGGCTACCGCGGAGCGATTTAGCAAACTACGGGGAGCCTATCCATGTGCATGTGCACGCATGCGCCACTACGCTTCCGTGCGCGGCCGCACCGGCTACATTGGCGCTGCGCGGAGTGCGACCACGCTCAGCCGTGTTCACCCAAACAGTGGACAGCACTGCACATGTTTTTCATAGCTTTGCGGAGGTCAATTGAGCAATCTGTGCAGCTACATCAATCGGAATGCGAAGAGAAGGGCCTCCTGCGCCCCGAATCACATCTCCAAACGTGTGTCTGACGGGTGACATGTTCAGATTGTGTTTTATATGAAGCATGGCTGTTTCACGCGTGCGCTATGGTTGGTTGCCAGCGGGTGTAAGTACCAGCCTGTCCCATCGTGTTCTTTCTCTTAGTTTCGTGTTTCCCGCTGGTGTTCATCCAATTCGACATGTACTAATTAGCCCTGTCTTTTGCCTTAGTATCTCAACATGTGCAATGCATTCATAACGGTGAGACTTACTTGGTTCCGAAAGTAAACGCCGGAGCCTTCTGCCCTTTCGTGACATTGGTGCTTGCCTTTTCACCTGAAAAGTTTAAAGAACTACGGTAAGAATACCACCCTCTGGGAAATACTGCGTGCATACGGACAGACTTAACTGCATGACGTCCTGATACATCGTGTAGGGCGTTTAGTGATTGATATTTGATGTCAAATAACTTTCAGCAAACGTTGCAGGTTAATATTCGCTTGAGGCATGCTTTGCCAGTTAACTGTCGCCGTACAGGTCACGCAGCGCCCGTGACTGTTTCTTACAATTTTTACCTGAACCCTGCACATCACCTTGTCATTAACTCAAATTAACTTCAATGGGACCCACCTATGGTGGACGGGATGGTGAAGGCCCCCGGACCTGGTGTCTTGAAGTCCGACGAAATGGGACCCCGTCGCTTGGTCGGAGACCACGGCCGCTGCTGGACGTAGTATCCGGACACATACTCGCTCTGCGAAACCAAAGAAGGTGCATTTAAATAATGAAAACTTAAGCTACGCGCTAGGTAATTGTTGCAGGCATGTTCGCTTCCGTTTAAGATAATTACAACCGTGCAAGCTCTACGCGAGTCAATTTCCGAATTCGAACAAACCTGCAGTTCCATCCCGGTCAATCGCCGTTAAGTTCAAGACCTCACGCGTCACGGCGTCTACAGTTTCCGAGCTCATCGCCCTTCTAGCCGCAATCAAGTTTGTTATGCGGGAATCCCTTGGCAAGTGGGCTACACTCTACGATTCCAAGGTGGCCCTGCAATCTTTGTGAAGTTTGCGCCGCGGGAACTATCATCAGTTGGTGTCTCAGAACAATGAAATCAGTCATTCGCGCCACTAACCAAAGACATGCATGACATAGTCTTTCGATGGTTGCCGGGTCACTGTGGGATCATTGGTAACCACCTCGCCGACAAACGCTGCCCGATGCGCCCACGACGGAGCACCTACACTGCTCATACCCCTGCCAAGGGTCGACGCTGCAAAAGAAACTTCGCAACAACGCGCATAATACCACACTTATGCATTGCAATCTTCGACTGAAATTCACTCGAAGCCCACAGAACCTCGCTACAGCTGCCATCAAAGACTTCACGACGATATGGCTGACTCCACCAACTGTGATAACTGCAAGTGCGTGTGGTCTTCACGTTCAGCAGCCCAGAAAGCCGCACGAGCCCTTCTACAATTCCTGAAAGCAACATCACTGAGCGACCATCTGTTAGACCCTGCACTGTGTGTGTGGTGTGCAATGGCCATCTCCCTTCTTTCTCTTTTACTCCCTTATTCCCCTCTCACCACGTGTAAGGTTGCACACTGAACTCAGTCTAGTTAACCCCCTACCTTTCTCACATTATTTCTATCTCTTTCTTGAATAATGTGTCCGTGAACATTTTTAAAAACGGCTTTTTTTTATCTCGCATATGAATGATTTCTTAATGAGATTTCACGTCTGTACTCGAGAAATTTATCAATACTGATCTCTAGAACGGCTGAAATTTGCACGCCGTTTCTGAAATTCAGCGTTCTTTTTACACGATCATGTTTTAACACATGGTGGCCGCATGGGGCGCCTCACGAAAAAAATTCTTGTGTCCAATCACGTCTATATAGTTCATGAAGAAGCTTAGCAAAAAAAAAAAAACAACACAAACAATGGGGAAAAGCGGTCATATGTGGGCTTGCCCTGCATAAAGAACGGTCAGCAAGCCGCTGGTCGCATTTTTGACACTCCTGCCTTAGCCTCACAGGGGGGCCAACAGACAATCAAATGAAGAAAAGTACAGACACAAGCACACCTATCTCGCTTCCTTGCACCTTTGGCTCCTGGTGGAATATTCTCGCACCCAGACGCCATTTTGATATGGACTGCCAAGGCATGTATCTATTGCGACAAGTTATCTATTGCAGCAAACGGCTGCTCTGGCACTTCAAAATGCAAAAACGTGCGTGTTCACACCTCTTCCGCTTACAAGAAGTCATCTGGTCACCACTGTGCCGCCTTAGGATATGAAAGCAACGAGCGCAGGAGGAAGACATTACTCAGCTAACGCCTCCTTTATTTCAGAGGAGACGCTGTCTGTGAAGATCACAACAAAAGGCGAGATCATGCAGGCGAGGTGTTTCCAGATATCAAATATCCATCTGCAACAATAAACTTCAAGAAAGAACTGAGTGCACATCTCCCGGTGCATGTTAAGTCATGCCTACGTGTGCAATGTTTTGCGCAAGATTATAGAAAAGAGCAGGGATCAAATGGCGGAGGAGCTATTAGGAGCGTTTAAAATAAAAGAGAAGCAGTCCTCCTGTGTCAGTGACATATCAATTGTGCTATATAGATTCGAGTTATCCTTATTTCATACAGATGCAGCTTTTTGTTTACATGTATGACTTCACTTCTTCATGCATTTGCTTATGCTCGGAAGTTTTCCTAGCTTGAAGCCTTTGCTGTCAATAAACAGCTCGTGGTTGGTGCTCACGTGTCTTTCTGCAAAAATTTTCCCGTATTCATGTTCCAACGTTTGCGGAAAGATAACATGCTCAGAAATTAGGACAGATCAAGCGTCAACGAAATCGTGATGCTATAAATATGAGGTAGCAGTTGAGGACAACTTCACAGCCACGCTCTAAACCGCTCTAAACAAGTGCGATTCCACAGCTCGAAATTTTATTTCGCCAAGGCACACACAGCACGAAATGACACTGGACCACATCCAGTTCTGGTTTAGCCCACAGTATTACATTACGGGGTTACAGACCGTAATTTTTTTTCGAGTTCTGTCATTCATGTTCATTACTTCACCAATGACAGTGACGCGACGAAATCCCGATTGCGCGTGCGTTGCCACTTTCGTCAGAGTCGTGGAATAATTGAGCGCGTCGCTACCCGTGGGCGTACTAGAGCGCGACCGCGTACTGTCGCGAATAACGGGGACGCGGTGACACTGGTATCGTCCTTGTGCCTCTCGCTGCAGTCAACGCCGCGCAGCAGCCCTGCCGTCCTTCACGCTTTGCCGTCGTCGCTGTACTGCATTGAAGTCGAACAAAAGGACGCAGACGGAAGCATGAGTGAGCTGCTTGCAGTATCTGTTACGTGGGCACACTTTTCAGTGATCAGCCATGCGAGTACAGAAAGGGCTGACTACAGGGCGAGCAACATTTGATGTCGGGGAAAGCCATGTCGTGCGGCTCACACTCATGCACTCATATACAGACCCAAAAGGCACTGTAAAGGGAGAGGCGATATTTGTGGCATGCTGTACACTCTAAAAGAGATATTTTGTTAAAATGAAGAATTCACTGCAAAGAAGATTGTGCAAGCTATCAGCAGCAGCAGCAGCAGCAGCAGCAGCCTGACTACGCCCACTGCAAGGCACATGCCTATTCCGTAGAAAAACAGGAGGCTGATGGAGTTGGTAACCATTTAGTGTCTTCAGACAGGGTTCAAAAATTGTGTAGATTGTAAGTACACGCCGAAACTCGATGAACGCGCAGTTTCGTACAGGCAGAGTAAGAAGAAACTCCTCTGGTGATTTGGGCATGGCGTATCGATACTAGTGGTATAAGCGCGCGTGATTCAACCACCGATTAACTTGCACAGGAATGAAATCAGGTGCCTTAACAGTTATGTTTGACGTACACAACCACACGTGTCGGATTGATAGGTTCGCCTACTGGACATGCACAGATAAGTCAAGTTTTCGTGGCTTCTTTCTTTTCGGCGGTCGCGCGTATCTTCAGTTGGTATCAGGCCTTTGTGGTGCCGTAACTTCATTGTATGAGCTTGTGCGCCATGTCTTTTTAGATAATCTTCCATGTTTCACCAATCAGTCCTGTGCTGTACTTGCGGCCACGTTTTACCCACAGTTTTTTTTATCTTACTTTTCTACCTAACTTTCTGCCTCCCTCTAGCGTACCTGCCTTCTCTTGGAATCCAGTCTGCTACTCCTGTGGACATTTATCACACCAACCCTCATCATTGTACATTGTCGTCATCATAATGCGTGGGTTATGTAGCCCCGCCACAGGGGTCTAGTAGCAAAGATACTCGGCTGCTGACCCGCAGGTCGCGGGATCGAATCCCGGCTGCAGTGGCTGCATTTTCGATGGAGGCGAAAATGCTGTACGCCCGTGTGCTCCGATTTGCGTGCACGTTAAAGGACCCCAGGTGGTCAAAATTTCCGGAGCCTTCCACTACGGCATCTCTCATAATCATATGGTGGTATTGGGACGTTAAACTCCCCAAATCAATCAATGCGTCGGTTATGTATCATGTTCACTGTCGTGTATAAGCATCATCGTTAATTATGGGTTCGTCGATGCTGTTGGCGGACGGGTTCTTGGGACAAACAAAGATCGTCAAAACGAAAACACCATACCATTAATGACCAGCGGTTAGCTTACATAGGCGCTATGTGCCCTGCCCATGTTCATTTCTCCATCCCAATTTTAACTATGATGCCTTTGCCTGAACCACTCTGCTCTTTTCTTGTCCCCTAAAGCGTTCGTGAAATAGTCACTTCTAGAGCAACAATTCGAAACCACCGGCAGCCACACGCACCAACTAGGCGACGTTTAAGGTGACGTCAGCGGAAGAAATGTAGGCCTGCATGAACGATTATCCAGGCAAAGCGTCCACGCTCGATAGGCTTAATCGAGACTATGCCTTGATGAGCGTCCACGCAGGTCTACTCTTCTTTGGCTGACGTCACACAATTAATGTGTGTGGCAACCAGCGGTACCACGTTTTTTTTTTAACTGTCGTTTTAGGAGCGACATTTCACGACATTTCTCCTTTGCATTGGTCGATGCATCGTCCTGACCTTCAATAGAATCTTACTTGTAAGTCTCCGGTTTTCTGCTCCGAAGGTATAGACAGGGTTTATCATCGAAGTTATTGACCTTTGATGACGATACAATCTGTATCATCCAGCTCGCATTTATGTCTCTATAAGATAAAAAACAAAAACGTGACGGCTTCGCTACGAGTCTGCTTGTGTTAAAGCAAATAATTAAAGGCATACAAGGAGATAACGCGAGTGAAAAGGTATTAATAGGAGTGTATTTGTGTATGTTTGTTCACTAACTTGATGACTATGTGACGCATTTATTTTCGCTACTAATTGTATAGGCGAAGCGAAATGAAGTTCATTTTTTTTCTTTTCTTGCGGGGACGTGGAGGGATAATGAGGCGTTAATCAATGTAACTCCAAGAACGCTACCAGACTAGTTGCTTAACGCGAAAGCCCGAATAGAATGTAAACAGGACGAAGCATCCAGTTAGTGCCTGAAGTTGCGTCCCACTTTAGCGTGTTTCTCCTCTGAGCGGCCTCGTTTCCGACCAGTTTTCACAAGACGTTACCCAACGCGTCCGAAAAACAACTCTCTATAAACTCGCAGGCAGTCGTCCAGACCACTTGGGCCACAGCAGGGGCGTGCGAATCACATTTAAGGTTTGCAG